GGTGAGTCAGTGGGTGAGTGAGTGGGATGATAGGTGAGTGGGTGGGTGAGTGAGTGGGATGATAGGTGAGTGGGTGGGTGAGTCAGTGGGTGAGTGGGATGATAGGTGAGTGGGTAGGTGCATCATGGTCTTTTAGTGGGGACTAAAGTACGCTGCTGCTGATGATGATGAAGAATCAGCATTGCCATCGCTTGCTATTGCAGATGATGCTATTACTGGTTCTGCTGCTGACAAAACAGCAGAAGCATCATTATATTCTGATGATGCATCGTCATGTGCTGCTAATGATTCTGTATCATCATCATTGCTTAAAACTGATGATGGAAGCGTCATCATTTCGCGGGCGCCCATGTTGATTAGTTCATTTGAGCGGGCGTCCATGTTGGTTGGTTCATTTAGCTGGCACAGAGCAAGAGGGCGAGTGGGGGGTGGGTGAATGGATGAGTGAGAGGGTAGGTGAGTCTCACCTGCATCCTCTTGTCTCGTGGTCTGTTGAAGCCACTTTAAATGGGCTCTATAGAGCGGCGCTGCTGATGAATCATCATGCGCTGATACAGAATCAGCGCATCATGATTTCTCGAAGCTGATGATGATGCTGATGGAACAACGAAAGCATCATTAGCCTTGCCTTCTACTGCGGCTGCTTATAGAGCCCCATTAAAGTAACTTCAAAAGACCACGAGACAAGAGGATGGAGGTGAGACTCGCCCACTCAGCACACCTGTCAACCCCTTATCAGCGATACCTTATTCTTTGGTTCTTTCGGAAAAGTCACGTAGATAGAAAAATTATAATGAAGTGAATAAAAATAATAAAATTAAAAACCACGACGTTTCCATCGCACCACAAGCGGTCGTCATCAGGAAAAGGGGGTTGGCCTCTAAAGGCAAACTGTTTATAAAGGTTTAAAATGAGAGTAGCCCAAGTGTCAGCAGCATGGGCGGAGCAGCTGATGTTAATGTGAGTGATGGGCAACGACGGTGCTGGTGGTGGGTTTCCACCAATCAAAGGGCTGCCAAGTAATCATTGCACTTCGCTTTATAAACTCACACTGTTGACGGTGGAGGTTGCTGCTAGAGGTGATGGTAGTAGTGGGTAGTGATGCTACACGTGGTGGGCTTCCACCAATAAAGGGCTACTGCTAGTGGTGATGGTAGTGGTGGGCAGTGATGGTCCTGGTGGTGGGCTTTCACCAATTAAAGGGCTGCCAGGTCTAAAATGGAAACATAACAGCCAGTTATGACTTGAACTGGCTGATAACGTCCTTCCAGTGATCGCTGAGTTTGTACCCATCTTCTCGGTTGAAATTGTGTCTGTGTCTGTTTATATGGATGGCTTCATGAACGAATATTTGTTGATAACCAGTGGGTTTGCAAAGTACCTTCGTCTTAGAGAAATCAATTTCGTGTGAGCCAGCCGCATTAAAATAATGATCAGCCACGGCAGAAGTATTGGTCCTACCGTGTTTCAAATTTGCCTTATGCTCACGAACATGGTCCGAGACATGTCGCTTAGTTTCCCCAGTGTAACTGCTGCCACAGATACAGCTTAGTTTGTAGACGCCGGGATATTGCATGTCAGGGATCTTGTCCTTCACAGATGGGATCACATCACGAATTTTATGCACTGTGTTAAATCGGACCTGGATCTTGTGTTTGTTCAAGATTTTGGAAATATTTTTGGTTACCCCTGCTATGCATGGCAAGGTGATGGTTTTTTATTGGATCCTCAGATGGCTCCTTCCTCACGATTGGGGTGATGGCTTTGCGGATTGTGTAGTCAGAGTATCCATTTGCTTTGAGAGCTTGGTGTACGTGTTTTAGTTCACTGGTCAGGTGTTCATGGTTGGAGATACATTGAGCTCTATGGTGTAGTTTTGATGAGGGAATTCTGCGATGGATAGTGGTGGGAGTCAGGTTTTAGGTTGACATCATTATGGGTTGCTTTCCTGTAGACAGAATGGCTCATTGAGCCATCTGGTCTCTTTTTAATTAAGACATCCAAGAAGGGTAGCTTGCCATCCTTTTCTACCCCCATGGTGAATTTTATAGCTGGGTTAATGGAATTGATGTGGTTGAAGAATTGTCTCAGAGCCGGTCGGCCATGTGGCCAGATGACAAACGTGTCATCCGCGCATCTCTTCCACAAGGGCGGGCGTAGACTGGATGCCTGGATGGCGTCCGTCTGAAAATTGTTTCCATGAAAACATTGGCTACAACCGGAGATAAGGGATAGCCCATTGAGGTGCCTTCAGTTTGTAGAATGTTCCATTCCAGGTGAAGTATGTATTGGTGAGGCAGTGTCTCACCAGTGCCTACCTTATCACAGACCAATTCAGAACTTATTGGTCACCCCGTGCCGTCATAAATCTGAACGTTCACCCTACAAAGTCCCATCACACGGGAGAAAACACGATCAAATATACAACAAAAATTTGCCCCGTATTGAAACGGCTGTATCACGCCATATGGCCCTGAAAACTCAATTTCCCTCTGTGGGTTGACAAGGTATGGTCACTTGGCGACCTATTCGCTGACCCCACTCACCTTCTCACACTCTGCAATTGACTCAACGTGGAGTGCCTCCCCGACGTAAGATGGCGGACCACGGCTCCACTCAATGAGTGGAGGGTCGTTGTCCGAAACGTTACCTGTTATCCCCCCCCCCCCTCCTCTTGTAAGGCCACACATACGGTGTTGTTGATGAACGTGTTGTTGTCATCGTCGTTGTTTGTGCACCACTGGCGGTAACCGATCAGATGTTGACTTTTTACGGGCCCCGACCCTCACTAAGATGGCCGCCGTCAGCTGACTGCGTAATGAATGACGTCACACCGCGCGCAGCGGTGAGAGATCACTGCGCGTGGTGGTGGTGAAGAAGGCGGCGTGGGTGATGAGGTTTGTAATTCCCCCCCACCACCTCTTTCTCTCTCTCCCTCTCACTCTTCTCCGCCGGATCGAACCGCGAGTCCTCTGCGCGGCTGCCCGCAAGCCTCCCCGCCAGTTGTCCCGACTCCCCGCTTCTAGGGAGACAAAGGCGGCCCTCCGGTTCGTGGCGCTTAGCACCACCAACCCACCACCCCTTCGTTGTGTGCCATGCCCAGGCCTTGCATAGTGGAGACCCGCTGCTCACTGAATCTCTCCCGCGTGCGCTCCCCCCCCACCACCACCCCCCCACCACCACCCCCCCCACCACCACCCCCCCCACCACCACCCCCCCACCACCACCCCCCCACCACCACCCCCCCACCACCCCCCCCCCCCACCACCACCCCCCCACCACCACCCCACCACCACCACCCCACCACCACCACCCCACCACCACCACCACCCCCCCACCACCAAACCAAACTTCCCCTTGGTGATTTGCTTACACGCGGGAATGCATCTTTGCGTGCGCGTGCGTGTGCGTACAAGACTCGTGCGTTTTTGTGTTGATTGTGTAGCGAAGTTAACGCGGGGGGGGTAACACGGGTTTACCGGTGCTGTGTGTAGTTAAAACATCGCCACTGGGGAGACAAAGGCGGCCGGGTGCGGTGTGCGCCGCACCCGGCCTTTATAGGTGCTGCTCGCCAACAGCGTCTGCAACAACAAGGCTGTTAAAGCATAGTAGACGGGGTTCTTTTTGTTTGGGATTAGGTCGCGTGAATATATAAATGTTGTGTCGTTAAAACCCGCCACCACCCGACACCACAGCCGACTAGTAAGGGGTTGTCACGTCAACAGAACGTGGCCAATTCGTTGCTATTACAGCACAAGTGTGTAGTGTAGTAGTGTATAGTGTAGTATACTAGTACAGCACTCGTGTATACTGTAGTAGTGTATAGTGTAGTGTATAGTCGTGTAGTGTATAGTACTATAGTGTATAGTGTAGTGTATAGTAGTGTATAGTGTACTAGTACAGCACTAGTGTAGTAGTGTAGTATATGGTCGTGTAGTGTATAGTGTAGTGTATTGTGTATAGTAGTGTCTAGTGTACTAGTACAGCACTAGTGTATACTGTAGTAGTGTAGTGTATAGTATAGTCGTGTAGTGTACAGTAGTATAGTGTAGTGTATAGTAGTATAGTGTGGTGTACAGTAGTGTATAGTGTAGTGTATAGTAGTGTAATAGTGTTGTGTATAGTGTAGTATACAGTGTTTAGTGTACTAGTACAGCACTCCGGTGTGTTGGAGAGCCAAGCCACAACATTTATAATCCGAGTACGACGTTTCGCCAGTAATTACAGCCAGCTTCATCAGGCGGCAGCCAGATTTGTTTACGTGACAACTTTGTTAGTTGTCTGTGGCGGGTGGTGGCGGGTTTTAACCAAGGCCGTAATTATAATTTATATTGGGGGGGGGGGCACATCCCCCCCCCCAATATTAAAATATGCTCAAAATGTCCCCCCCCAATATATTGCTATAAAATATATTTATCTTTATACGATTGTGCTTATGGTTGTACTTTATAAATCCCTAATCTCTGCCATTACATATAATGAAACAAGAAAAGGTAAAAAAACTAAAAAACAGAGCAATGTAATACAATACACTATCAGACATTGGGATCTGCCCAGAAATTAAAAAAAACGAATCGTCATGTTGATCGCGAGATCCTTGCACGTTTAATGCGTGTGGGTGCGCTGAGTGGACTTACCGATGACTGGTACCGGCGGTGTCAAGATCGGTCTCTGTGGAGGAGGCTCGTGAAGGACGCTGCTACTGGGCAGGTGGAGCGACGCTCACAACAACGAGCAGAGCGCCGGGATGTCTAAACACAGAAAGTTGGCACAGTGGGGAGCACAGGTGGTGCATTGGGCCAGTCATCTCGGTCAGTCAACTCATGGCACCTTGGTCTGTTCCGTAACTTGCCAGCGGGCCTTCGACACGTGATGGCCTCAAAGTGCACCTAGCATGGCACAAGCGCCGTGGTGACGTCACCGCCACTTAGTGGTGAACGGCGGTTGTTATTTGTTGCTGCTACTGCTGCTGTAACTGTGTAACTCTCTCGCTGTTGCAGGAGTTGAGTGATGGAGGGCAGCAGAAAGAGGAGGGCTGCTGTGGGTGAGCTCCTGCCAGGGCAGTCCATTCGGCACGCCGCTCATGCTTTTTACACAGCACACGACAAAACACCATCGGGGACTTTATATTATTATAATACAGGCAGTCTCCCGACTTACGGACATGCACACTTGTGGACATCCGCACTTAACGAACGTCCGCGCTTATGAACGTCTGTACTTACGAACGTTATCTGCACTTACGGACGTCCACACTTACGAACGTCCGTGCTTATGAACGAGCTTCCATAACATATTTCTTCTTTCAACCATTCGACCTGCGAACGTGAACTCGCACTTGCGAACTGTACCGAGGAACTATTTACAGTGGCACGTGCAAATGTACAATATTTATTATTCATGAATTATAACAATGCTTCCCTTTCTATTGTTGACCGCACGTGCGTTTAAAGCCAGTACATTACCGCATTCCGAAGGTGGGGGTGTAACCAAGTGTAGTGTGATAACGGGTGTTGCTGCGAGGTGTTGCTGCCCACCGAGTCGTGAGCGGTGATGATTCTTCAGGGAAAATTATAATAGCACGGGGGCAAAATTACGATCGTGTATTTTTTTTTTTATTCCTGCTCAGAGGGAGATCCAAAGAAGAAGAAGAAGAGAGATGGCAAAGAGAAGAAGCGGAAGAAAGACAAAGCGGAGGAGACGGAAACTCGCCAGAACGGAGACACGAGGGCAACCGTGAATCCGGGGGATGCAGGTGACCTCTACATCACTACCCTGTAACCCAGACATGGGCAAAGTACGGCCCGTTGGGCTTTTTAATCCGGCCCGCCGAACTTGTCCAAATATTATTAAATTAAATTTTACCTTTCTCCTGTAATGCCCCCATTTCCCCATTAGATGGCGCACTTTGACCGGGAGTTACGACATGTTTTTGTATCCTTAGCTCTTTCGGTAAAGTCACGTTAAAGGGAAACAATAAAATAACCGAAAGAGCTAAGAATATGAATTACTGCAGTCACGAAAGCTTTAAATCAAAATGTTTTTGTATTGTTCATGTTCGTGCAATTTGTTAAATTGCCTTGCAAATAAATGCTTTGCTCCCTGTTAAAGGCCAAATCCTTTCATGTAATGATTTTTACACGCCATTTATATTAGTTCACACAAACACTCCATCCATCTGTTCCTGGCCCGGCCCCTCTGTCAAATTTTAGAACCCATTGTGGCCCACGAGTCAGAAAATTTGCCCACCCCTGCCGTAACCTCTCACCCCTCCAGAGACGGACAAAGATCCCCCGTGTAGCCTGTAACAGAAAGTTTGGGGCAAGTGCTGTTAGCGAGTAGCAGCGCCTATTCAGGCAGGCACGGCACGCGAGCGGGTGGGTGCCCAGGACCGCACCCGGCAACCTTTGCCTCCCTAGTGGCGATGTTTACACATCGCACCAGGTACTCTTTTGAGGCTCGGTCAACCGAGGTGAGGCTCAGGACCGGTTGAGATTATCGTCGGCGGTATTTGTTGGCCGTGAGCAGGAATCGAACTCGGGTCGCTGGGTTCGTAGAGCAGTGCACCAACCACTGCGCCACCGGCTCCCCACCTCTCCGCACTCCTCGCCACACTTGCCGACTGGGCACGTCCACGGCGCGGAGGGAGCGGTGAAGCAATTGGACAGTGCGCCGATTGTCCTAAGGGCCGAGGAACTAAGAAGACCTCAGAGTCGAGGCATAGGATGATGAACCTCCCCAATGCTGATCAAATGACGTATCGCGCCTCGGGGGGTTGCGAATTGGTTTAATATTACGGCATTCCCTCGTTATTCCCGAGGGATACATTCCGGAGACGCTCGTGTGTAGCAAATTTCGCGGATAATGATGTTTGAATGAATTACCTTAAATACTAAATAATCTTTCTCGCTCATTACTTTTTTTCATCACTTTATCTCATCATCACTCTCTCTCGATGGAGTAGGCCTGTAGATTTCCAGATGCGATTCGCGGATAGCCAAAATCGCGGGTAGTAAGTTCGTAAATAACGAGGCAATATTGTAATTTATAAATAATCTAATTTATCACCTCGCTTGTACCGTTTCGTTTGCATCGCTTATTTTATTTCCCCGTCTTGTGTGTACAGTTTTTTTTATTGGCCCCGTCAGCCTGAATGTAACGTCGGCGGCGGCGGCGGCTCCTCGTCCGTAGAGAATTTCACGACTGATTGATTCTTATTCTTAGTTTTTTCGGTAAAGTCACGTTGAAGAGAAACAACAAAATAACAAAATATATATAAAACAATAAAAACTGTAACTACTGTAACTTCTTCTAATGCGAAACGAATTCTTTTCAAAACTAGCTTAGCTCTTATCTCAGAAAAAATCAGACTTATACGCACAGAACTAGATCAGTTAGACAAGACACTCTACAAATCACACTTATCATTGACGGCAATAATGTCCACATCGGATTGGGAACATGTAGACAATATGACTGCCTCTTCAGCTGCTACTATGTCGACCAAATGTAAGGAAAACCTGATTTCCAAATTTAACCTCCTCTTAAACAAAAGACCGGACCCACACACCAAAAAGTTAGACGTTAATAAAGTCGTAATTAATCGCAGTAACAGTTCTATTTCCGATGGTCTGAAATCCGTTTTAGCTAAAGGTCTAAACTTTGCAGTCACACCTAAACACATACCAGTTAATGATATAATTGCCCAAGTAGACGTTGCTCTCAGGGGCCTGGGTCACATCGCTGCAGACGTAGCAAGATCTGAAATCGCTGCAACCCTCAAAAACGCTAAGATGCCAGCTAGCAACCTCAGCAAAGATGAGCGTTTTGAATTATATAAATTAAAAAAGAGGAATGATATTGTAGTTCTCTCAGCTGACAAAGGCAATGCTACTGTTATCATGGATAAAATAGAATACAACAACAAAATTAAAGAATTACTCGACGATGGTAGTTATACAAAAATAAAAAGAGATCCCACCAACAGCCTCGTCACACAAACCAACAAAATAATTTCTGATTCAACCGCATTAATTGATCAATCTAAACAGTTTTTGTTGAAACCTTCTGCTGCCAGGCCACCAAGATTATACGGCTTACCAAAAATACATAAAGTTGATACACCTCTTCGTCCCATAGTCTCTACTATCAGCTCCCCCACCTACAAACTAGCTCGTTTTTTGTCTGAAATCCTGCGTCCTTTCACTGGAAAGACCACCTCTGCGGTACAAAATTCTACTCACCTGGTATCAACAATCAAGGGTATTTCCCTGTCCCCAGACGACCTGCTTGTCAGTTTTGATGTAGTTTCCTTATTCACCAAGGTTCCTGTACCTGACACCATTGCAATCATTGAAGACTTGGTTCATCAAGGACTAAACACTGAGGTACCCCCCCTGGTGAGACACTGTTTAACCAATACATACTTCACTTGGAATGGAACTTTCTACAAACAAACTGAGGGCACCCCAATGGGCTCCCCCCTTTCTCCAGTTATAGCTAACATTTTCATGGAGAAATTTGAGACTGACGCCATCCAGACTGCCACTCTGCGCCCAACCTTATGGAAGAGGTACGTGGATGACACTTTTGTCATCTGGCCACATGGCCGGCCTGCTCTAGACAAATTCTTCGACCACATCAATTCCATACACCCAGCCATCAGATTTACCATGGAAGTCGAAATAGATGGCAAGATACCTTTTTTGGATGTCCTAATTAAAAAGAGACCTGATGGTTCAATGAGCCACTCTGTCTACAGGAAAGCTACCCATACGGATGCTTATCTGAAACCGGATTCCCACCACCATCCATCACAGAAGAATTCTCTCATCAAGACTCTGTATCATAGAGCCCAATGCATATCCGACCAGGAACACATAAGCAGTGAACTCAAGCACGTACACCAAGCTCTTAGGGCTAATGGTTACTCCGACTATACAATCCGCAAAGCTATCACTCAAACCATGAAGAAGAACCCTCTTGAGGAGCCTTTCAAAACCATCACTTTACCCTACATTGCTGGGATCACAAAAAAGATCTCCAAAATCTTGAATAAACACAAGATCCAGGTCCGTTTCAACACATTACATAAAATCCGTGATCTGGTTCCGTCTGTAAAAGATGTGATTCCGGACATACAATACCCTGGTGTCTACAAACTAAGTTGCCTCTGTGGTAGTAGTTACATTGGAGAAACCAAACGCCATATCTCGGACCGCATTCGTGAACATAAAGCAGACCTTAAACACGGTAGGACCAACACCTCGGCCGTAGCAGATCATTGTTCTAATTCAGTAGGCTCACATGCCATTGACTTTTCCAAGACGGAGGTTCTTTGTAAGCCATCTGGCTTCCATGAGAGATTCGTTCATGAGGCTATCCACATATACAAACACAGAGACAATTTCAACCGAGAAGATGGATTCTATCTTAGCAATCATTGGAAAGATTTGATAAATCATTTCAGTTCTTGATTGATTGTTCACGCTTACAGTGCCTTTCAGACAGCATACATAAAAACAAATTTCGTCTCCCCCCTCCTCTTTTCAAAAAAAAAAAATAGATGGACTAGTCCTTGCAAACTGCCATCGTTGCGCGTGACGCAAACGTTATTTTTATATATATAAATAAATATGCCGTTTTCAAAATAAATTTATGCAAACCGACACACCTGATGATGACCGTTTGAGTTATGGTCGAAACGTCGTGAGAATTTTTTATTGTTTTATATATATTTTGTTATTTTGTTGTTTCTCTTCAACGTGACTTTACCGAAAAAACTAAGAATATGAATTACTGCAGTCACGAAAGCTTTAAATCAAAATTTGATTGATTCTTACGAAGCGCCGTTCGGGGTGCGTGCGTTGAGATGAGGATCGTTGCTGTCGTTGAATCTCTCGACGCAGCTCGGGCCTATGTCAGGGGTGGCAACGCCTACGGCCCATCGCCTTATGGCGCACAGCCACACAAGGCCGACTACTTCAAAACGGCCCGCAAATAATGTTCATCCCTCACTGCCGGCATCTTTGCCCCACTGATCGGGTACTAGAGGGGATGGTGTGATATCAATCGGATGGCAAGACTTGTTTGATATTTTTAGCGCGCCTGGTCACTTCCGTCATGGGTGCCACGGTGGCGAGATGTTAACTCCCTCGCCTGGTATGCAGGATGTCGTGGGTTCGATCCCGACCCTAATGTCTGTATATTTGGAGTTTGCATGTTTTCCCCGTGGTCGCGTGGATTTTCCTCCGGGTCCTCCAGTTTAGAATCAATGTGTGTTATTGGAGCATTTGCCTGCGATAAATAGATCCACAGAAGAAGAAGAAGAGAGATGGCAAAGAGAAGAAGCGGAATAAAGACAAAGCGGAGGAGACGGAAACTCGCCAGAACGGAGAGACGAGGGCAACCGTGAATCCGGGGGATGCAGGTGACCTCTACATCACGACCCCGCAACCTCTCACCCTTTCAGAGACGGACAAAGATCCCCCGTGTAGCCTGTAACAGACTGTTTGGGGAAAGTGTTGTTAGCAGTGCCTGCGAGTGAGTGAGTGAGTGAGCGAGTGAGTGAATGAGTAAACTAGTGAGTGAATGAGTGAGCGAGTCTGTGAGCAAATGAACGGGTGAGTGAGCGGGCGAGCGAGTGAATGGGTGAGTGAGCGAGTGAGTCAACGACTAAGTGAACGTGTGTGAATGATGCATTTTCACGTGATAGTGCCACTTCGTTGAGCCATCATTTGTGATGGCCAGGTCGCTTCTGAAAAAGAGCTACGTGTATCTCAGTGGGGCCTTACCTGGTAAAAAGACAGTACAACAAGGGACATAACTGATGGTATTACACGCGAGACCTAAAAACATCCGAAGAAAGTATAACTTGAGACAGAAACATTGAGACAAAACACATTAGAAAAGAATACAAATGAGACAAATAAGTCATATTAAAAAAAAACTTTAAAAAAAAACACACTTTTATGAAATGTGCGAGTAATGGCAGAACTCCACGACTCCAGGAAGTGGCCGCGAAGCTTGCCACAACGTAAGGGGACCGTGGCCAATTACAGCCAACGTCAGCTGAGCGTGGACAATTAGACCCAAGCCGAAACATAACATATAAAAAAGAATGTTTAAAAAAATATATTTTTAATGATATAATATAGTATTGTCATCAGTGTGACGTAAGTATAACCAAGTTTGCAGTCGATACCACATTGGGAAGTGGGTTAAAATTGAGTTACAAGATTTGAGGATACAACAGCATCGACAACAACAGACAGAGCGAGTTAAAAGAAAGCGTGTAAAATACAAAATAGGTTCAGTCGTAATACCCACGTCCACGCTTGCGTCATCGTTTGCTCTACGAGCGGTGTGCTTGCGTCATTAATGCGCGGAGAGACCCCCTTCCGAAGGTGTTAAAGAAATCCCCTCGCTCCCCCACTGACGTCCACCCTTGCCCCCCCCGCCCCCCGTGACTGCCTGTGGCGTCCAGGGCGGGCCTATACGGTGAGCCTCGCCCTGCCCGGCTCCATCCTGGAGAACGCGCAGTCGGCCGAGCTGCGCTCGTACCTGGCGGGGCAGGTGGCGCGCGCCCTCACCATCTTCGCCGTCGACGAGGTGGTGGTGTTCGACGAGCAGGGCGCCGACCGCAAGTAGGAAGCGTGGTCGCGCTCCATCGGAATCATTTTTAACTGTCCTGGAGAGATGGGAGGGAGCTGTGAAGCTCTTTTTCGCAGAGGTCCAGAAGGGGCGGGTCAGAAAGTTATGTACGTGTGTGTTGAACTTTTTTCGCACACCGCACGTAGCCAAACCGTGCTAATCATGTGCAGTGGACACTTAGGGGGATGTCTGCCCCATGGATCGTGACGACGATGCAAGAGTAGACCTGGGGTATTCGCCTGCTGCCAGTAGTGGTTGCACACAGTATGCGTGAGACGAAAAGGACAGTCTGGTAGACCCAAGTGTTCGATGTTAGGATCAGAATATTTATTAATACTGGAAGAGTAATCCGATGGAGCTATGAAGCTCTTTTTTCCACAGATGTCCAGGAGGGGCCAATCAGAAGGTTACAACAACAACAAACAGTACAAAAATACGATAGGAGTGTATAGGAAAGGTAGAGACATCACTTACAAATAAAGCTAAATACGGTAAAACCTTGGATTGCGAGTAACTTGGTCTGCGAGTGTTTTGCAAGACGAGCAACATTTTTTAAATAAATATTAATTTGATAAACGAGCGAGGGTTTTGCAATACGAGTAGCAGTACGTATAGACGCTTTGTCTGCCGAGCATCACGTGATCACAACTAATATATATGAGTGCTTTGATATACAAGTGCTTTGGATTACAAACACGTTTCCGGAACGAATTATGCTCGCAATCCAAGGTTTTACTGTAATTGTTTATCTTGCCAGGTAAAGCCGACTGAGGTATTGACTTATTTTTCAGAAGCGACCTGGCCACAAATGACAGCTCAACAAAGTGGCTTATCATGTGGAGCTTTATAGCAGCAAATGTAATCTAAATAAGCTCAATGTGTGTTTCGAAATGTGGCGGGACAAACCGGAGGAGCCGGAGAAAAAAATAAATCCACGCGACCACGGGAGGAGAGAGAGAGAGACGCAAACTCCAAACGCGGGTGGAGGAATCGGCGAGTGAAGCTCACGGCAAACGGTAACCGTGGTAGTAGCAGCAGTAGTAGTAGCGGCGATGGAAGACTCGCCAGGAAGCGACCGAGCAACGGAGTACGGTCCGGCGCTCGATCGACCATCCGTCAGTTTGGCTGCTTTACTCTGAATCCTAGAGCGCACGCATGCACAGGCCTCGAGCCGATCAGCCGCTGGATGAGGGCTTCCCTACGCTGTGCGGGTTGTGGCTGGTTGAGGTTGGGAGTGGGGGGGGGGGTTATTCTGACCTTGCTTCACCACGCTGGTCAGTACAGATGGGTGAAGGCGAGGCGTGCGCAGGTGAAGAGTAATATAATGGATTTCTCAGTTTTTATGCATCGCTCAAAGTGATGCGGAAGTTAACCGTTTGTTTTCTGTATTCGTTGATTTTTTTTTAATCCTCTACGACAGCGCTTCTTCACTAATTCTCGGAGGGCGGTGGGGGGGGGTCACTTTCGCCGATAAGACATCATCGGTGTGAGGGCCGCCACAGATTTGAAACCATTGTTGGGTTTGACAGCAGCACGATGATGATGATGACGATGGGGTGTGTTTTAACTTGTTGTGTATTGCCGGGGTGCCCCACGTCAGGGGCCGCACTAAAGTGCCACCAGGGGCTGCCAGTGGCCCGCGGGAAACTTGCAACGAAAAACACCGGCTTAGACGAACAGTAAAACAATGGCTTTTTCTGTTTTACATCACCCAAAGTAATGCAAAACTTAAGGGCTATTTTTCTGTATTGGTTCATGTGTTTACCCTTTACAATGAGATTTTTTGACCTTTCAGCACACGGGGGTGCCCTGCATTGCTTCGATAACCGCGTCTCCCTTTAAACACAGACTTTTAGTCTCGACCAGCATCGAACCTGCTTTTAAATAACGATACTGATCAATCGATCGATCGATCGACTCTGGTTTTTGCGACGCAACGTGACGCCTCGCCGAGACCGGTTGTCCGTGTCTCGCCAACGTCGCCCGTCTTCCTCTCCGTGCCGCTGCGCTGCGTCGCAGGGGCGCCGAGGGCGAGTCTCCCGGCGCCGGGAAGCACGGTCACGGCAGCGTGCAGCTCGCGCGGATCCTGCAGTACCTCGAGTGCCCACAGTACGTCACCACTCACTTGCCGCTGCCACTGCTACTTCTGCAAGCTGTGCACCATTCGCATTTAACTGTCCGCACAAATCGACTCCACGCTATCTGATGGACCCAACAACTCACTCACCCACTCACCCAGCTACTTATGCACTCTCCCACTCATCCACCCAGCCACTCATCCACCCATCCACTCACCCACCCACTCACCTCGCCCACCCACTCACTCATCCACCCACCCACTCGTCCACCCACCCACTCATCCATCCAGCCACCTACTCGCCCACCCATTCACCCACTCACTCATCCATGCATCCTTTCACCCACCCACTCATCCACCCACCCACCTACCCACTTGTCCACCCACCCACCTACTCACCCACCCACTCGCCTACCCACTCACCCACCCACTCACCCACACATGATGTGTGCGCCGGTCTCCATTGTCATTCGTCGAGACCCTGACATTAAGTAAAAGTGTATGAATGAACTTACTGTACCTTAATTAGGATGATCACTAAATCTCTTGACTTTAACTCATTGCTTTATTGCATCAAATTCTCTCTCATCACTTTACCTGACCACTTACTTTCTCTATGCGTCCCCGTGCTAGTTCCAGATACGATTTGCGGATAGCCAAAATAGCGGATAGCCAAGTTCGTGAATAACTAGGTATTATATGTTAACACCACTTCTGTGTTTACGTGACCATTCACATCCCAAGATATTTGCCACGTGCTCATTATCCGTGTGTTCCCGTACCTTCACAAACTCCGTACACGTGCGGTGAATTAATGTCACGTCGTGCTGTGTTCTGCAGGTACCTTCGGAAAGCTTTCTTCCCAAAGCACAAGGACCTCCAGTACGCAGGTGGGACATTGGGAGCTATAGACACTGGGAGCTCTCGACGGGGAGGGATAGCGTGGCGGTTAGCGCGCTGCGCTACGAACCCGACCGGCCGAATTCGATTCCAGGCTCGCAGTCAACACTGGTGACGATTATCTGACCCGGCCCTGCGGCTACTCTTGGTCGACTCGGCCTCAAACGAGTACTTGGTGCGGTGTGTGATAAACATCGCCACTCGGGAGACAAAGGAAGGCCGAGCGTGGCTGTGGCCACCCACCCCCTCGTGTGCCGTGCCAGCCTTCATAGGTGCTCGCTAACAGCACTTGCCCTCGCAGTCTGTTAAGGCTATAAGGGGGATCTTTGGCTATAGACAACACGGTACCTTTACGTTGGTGACAGCAGAAAGATAACTAATTTTTTTATTTTTTTTATTTTACCAGGTAAGGCCCGCTGAGCTAATCTAGCTCTTTTTCAGAAGCGACCTGGCCACCAATGATTGCTCAACTAAGTGGCTTACCATCATGTGGATGTGTGTGTGTGCGGTCTGTATTTTGAGTTTCATACTTAACTTGCAATTTAGCAATCTTTGATATAGCGTGATCAACCGGACTATGCGTTAATTGTGTTTTGACCGACCGTCTGTGTTGCTTTATATAGTTTCCAAATTTTGCTAAACCCTGTTTGTCTGGTATGCTTCTCTCTCTGTGTCCCCTGTTGTATCTGTGGTAGTTCCCCCTACTTGGGTGTCTGTATATACATCTGAGGTTATGTGTTTCCCCTCTCTCGTAAATTCAGCTCTTCTGTACCTGATGATGGCTGCTTGTGTTGCAACCGAAACGTCGTACGCTATTATGTTATTTTATTATTTCTTCTTTATACGTGACTTTACCGAAAAAACCAAAGAGTAGCAGCCAAATACTCTAAACCAACGGTTCTTAACCTTTGCTGCAACATGTTCCATGTTAATAACTACATAGGGTTTGATGAAACAAAGTAGTTGTGCTTACATGCCCATGCTTAATTTGCGTTTTCAATGATTTACCTTCTGAAACAATCTGGCCACGTCTCGCACCCCCAGAAAGGGCATCTTGTAATCTTGTACCCCCCAGGGGGTGCGTGCACCCCAGGTTAAGAACCACTGCTCTAAACGTACGTTGATTCTAAATGCGGAAGGAAAAGAAAACGGAGGTAGCCGGAGAAATGATTTCGTTGGTTTGCGCCGAAGCCAACAGGTTCCTCTACAAGGCAGGGTTCATGGTCTCCTATGGCTCGAGCACTCTCAACACACACAAAGATTCCACCCCCCCCCCCGTATAGCCCTTAACAGGCGGCTGGTGCTGGTGTGGCATGCCGCCTCTGGAAGCAACTCTGTTGCCCGTACCGCGAGATCGCCGTGTGGCGGTGGCGTGAGACAACAGTATTGGGGGGGGGGGGGAGGTACCCTCCGGACTGCACGCCACGCGACGCCCATTCTTTCCCCCCCCCCCAGTGGCAAAAGAGACACGGTGATAGCAATGATAACAATGTCACCGCCGCCGCCGCCACCACCACACGGTGTTCGTTCGCTCTCGCGGACAGAGAGCGTTCTTGGGCACGAGGAGGAAGCAAAGACGAGTTGGGGAGAGAGCGGCCACGCCATGAGCCGGCGTCAACAATTGCCCAAGCTCCACGGTCCTCTCTGTACGAAGGCATCGTCGTCTAACGGGTGATTACACGTGTGGGAGGAAACCCACGCGAGTGAGGGGGAAACGTTCGATCCCCGTACAGACGGAACAGGTGGGGCCCAGGTTTTTGCCGAGTGCCGCCTTCCGGCGGAGCCAGGGGTGCGGACTCCTCCTCGACGCCCACCCACGGGTAGAGAGGGAGTTTCCCAACATCTGTGCGGTGGCCCACGAGCCTCTCGCTGCTGCCGCCGCTGCCTGCGCGCGGCGCTGGCTTACAGGCCACGCCGCTCGCTTGGCTGCCCTACCGACGCCGCCGCCGCCGCCCGGCTAATGCCTGCCCTTGTGCCGCACCGCGGCCGCCGCTGCCTGTGACTGCCCGTGGCTGCCTAGGGCTGCTGAACCCCGTCGACAGCCCTCACCACATGCGGCGTGACGAGGAGAGCCCCTACCGTGAGGGTGTCGTGCTCGAGCAGCACGGAGCGCCCGGGGCCAGCGCCAGCGCCAGCGCCAACTGCGGCCTCTACAAGGCAAGGGGGGGGGGAGGGGGGGTGAGGGGGTGGGGGTGGTCCCCGCTCGTCCATCCATAGCTCCCGCCACTCGCACCCACCCTAGGTAGCTACGGGAAGCCACTGGAGCCACCTGGATCGAAAACTTTGTGCCATTATTTTGTTGTCCTCCCCCCAAGCGCGCCTTCCGATTAGCACGGTTGGCTACGTATGGTGCGAAAGAAGTTTAACATACATTCACAGACAAAGCCATGAACAAGTCCTGCTCGCGACCACCTTCAAAGCCCTGGACAACACAACACCTTTGTCTCCTCATGGGTGATGTTCATTCACTGCACCGAGTAATTATCTAAGGCTTAGTGAACCTAGGAGAGTCTCCAGACCAGTTCAGATATTCGCCACCAGTGCTGGCTGAGAAAGGGAATGTAACTCGGGTAGCCAAGTTCATAGCGCAATGGACTAACCACTGTGCCACCGCTCCCCAGCACTCACAGACAGACTCACACACTCGCACGTGCACACACACACACACTTAAAATTGGTCACGGTTTCTGTACGGCAACATGACATTTGGTCACACGTAAACGCTCTGTAAAACTACGCAATGTGTTGTACTGCACAGTCTTTAGATGCAGTCCCAGTTGGAGGTTACATAAAACACACAGTTGGAATGTGTCGGTGGATTGTGTCGGTGGATTGTGTCGGTGGATTGTGTCGGATTGTGTTGGTGGATTGTCTCGGATGGTGTTGGTGGATTTTGTCAGTGGCTTTAGCCGGTGGATTGTGTCAGTGGATTGTGTCGGTGGATTGTGTCGGTAAAATGTGTCGGTGGATTGTGTCGGTAAATTGTGTTGCGTCCCGGTAGGAGGTGACGATCGACAGGAAGCTGCAGCCCGGCACGAGAGTCACCGTGCAGATGGAGGGCAACAGCGCGGGTTGGTTGACAACCACCCATCCATCACCACCATCCATCCACCACCACCTACCACCACCACCCATCACCCAGCACCACCCATCCATCACCACAAACCATCCACCACCACTCATCACCCACCACCACCCATCACCACCACCCATCCACCACCAACACCCACCACCACCCACCCACCCCCACTCGCCACCCACCACCACGCATATGTAGCCAACCGTGCTAATCGGAGGTGCGGCGGCGGAAGGACGACAAGCCAAACGCAAAAAGCGTTTAGATAAAGAAATGCAAAAGGCGGTTCAAAAGCGTCTTCGGGAACTGAATTCATTTCGGCTCGCGGAGCGGAACGTCGGACATCGCGGCGAACGACGCGCCGCACGCTTCCCCCGAGCACGTCACAGAGCTGCGCGCGGATCGCCACCCCCCCGCCACCCACCCCCGCGCTTACGATTTGTTCCGTGTGTGAACATCGGCAGGGAGGGTGGTGGCGCCGCACGTTCCGCGCACGCGGGCGGGTATCTACTGGGGCTACACGGTGCGGCTGGCGTCGGGCCTCGGTGAGTGCGCGCGCGGGCGCTAGCCGCACCGCCGGTTAGCGCGGTTGGACACATTGATGCCCATAGACTCAACACTACCCCATAGATCATTAGACCTCCTTTGCCAGTACCAAAATGTAATAATAGGGGTTTTTTTCCCTTTTTTCTGGCAACAAAACTGAAACCTTTTTACAAGGATTCATGTTTACTGCATTAACCACAATACCTGCAGTCAAAATGCAAACAAAAAACATACTATGATGATATATGGCATTGTCCTTGAAACTGATTGGTCCACACCAAGGGACAGCTTTCTTTTGAGCCTCGAGCCAATTGGTGCTCGACCAGATGACGCCAAAAGGCGTACAGCTCAAAGACAATGCACTATCAAAGTAATGAGGGCTCGGGGTGAGCATCTTCATCATTAGACTCAACACTGCCTATAGACTCAACACTGCCCATAGACTCAACACTGCCCATAGACTCAACACTGCCCATAGACTAACACTACCCATAGACTCAACACTGCCCATAGACTCAACACTACCCATAGACTTAACACTACCCATAGACTTAACACTACCCATAGACTAAACACTGCCCATAGATCAGGGGTGGGGAACATCCAGCCCACGGGCCATATAAGGCTTGCGAAATCATTTGTCAGTTCCAGTCATCACATTAGGGGTGAGTTAATTAAATGTTTGACCAAATATAACAGGCTAATCTTTAAGTTGATACTTTTGTATGGCCCGCAAATGATGTTATTAATGTCCAAATGGCCCTTGGCAGAAAAAAGGTTCCCCACCCCTGCGCATAGATGAACACTGCCCATAGACTCAACACTGCCCATAGACTCAACACTGCCCATAGACTCAACACTGCCCATAGACTCAACACTGCCCATAGACTCAACACTGCCCATAGACTCAACACTGCCCATAGACTCAACACGGCCTATAGACTCAACACTGCCCATAGACTCAACACTGCCCATAGACTCAACACTACCCATAGACTGAACACTACCCATAGACTGAACACTACCCATAGACTTAACGCTGACCCATATACTTAGACGGTTGGCTTTGTGCGGTGGGAAAGAGAAGTTCAACGTACATACATACAACGCGCGTTTAGAGTATTTGACTACTGCTATAAATGTATACGTGATAAGCCATTTGGTTGAGATATTATTTGTGGCCAGGTCACTTCTGAAAAAGAGCTCAGTGGCCCTTTAGACGGTAAAATAAAAATCGTTAACAGCGCTGTCACTGCGTTTTTGTTTTTGAACGGATTCCCCTGCAGGCGATGTGTTCACCGGGTGTCCTTTCAAGGGCGGCTACGACCTGACCATCGGCACGTCCGAGAGGGGCACGAGCGTGGACGACGTGAGCCTCCCTCCATTCAGGTAATGCTGCTGCTGCTGCTGCGGGTGGTGGGTGGTGGTGGTGGGTGGTGGTGGTGGGTGGTGGTGGTGGGTGATGGTGATGGATGGGTGGTGGTGGATGGTGATGGATGGTGGTTGATGGGTGGTAGTGGGTGGTGGTGGTGGATGGGTGGTGGTGGATGGGTGGTGGTGGATGATTGGTGGTGATGGATGGGTGGTGGTGGTGGTAGGTGGTTGTGGTGGGTGATGGGTGGTGGTGGTGTGTGGTGGTGGTGGGTGGTGGATGGGTGGTGGTGATGGATGGGTGGCGGTGGGTGATGGGTGGCGGTGGTGGGTTGTGGTGGTGGATGGGTGGTGGTGGATGGGTGGTGGTGGGTGGTTAGCGGGGGTGGGTGGGTGGATGGTCTGCGGTCTTCGTACACAGGAACCTCGGCATCTTAAAACATATCTAGACACCTCCGATTATTCAGCTTTTTTGCGAAATCAGAAAATGGCTCGTCGCATTCACATTATTTTTCCGTGTCTTCGTGCTTAGCTTCGCGATTTGTGCTGAGTATCTGTTGTAGCGCTTTGAGATCCCTCAAGAAAGGTGCTTTATACGTATAAATATTATGAACTAACCAGGTTAGGAAAGGTCATGCATGTGCGTGGATTACATAGCGCTATCCAGCGTGCTTTTATCAAGTATTTGATTAGCAGTGTGAAAGCCGGCCCGGTAACTGCTATGTCAGGACGAAATACATTTTTATATTTCACTTGGACGTGTGTCTCCATGTCTTGGGTAACCATTGGATCCGCGTGTAGAGGAGTATATTGAGGAACAATGAGGGGGCCAACAGGAGGCGCGAGCGGGCTGACTGCCGAGGATGACGTCACGTCACGGGTGTTGTAAGGGGGGGTGGGTACCTTCGGGAACAAAGGCGGGTCCGAGCTAGGGGGAGGAGCCGCCAAAGGGGTACTTAAGGGGGACCCCGTGACGAAGGCGTGGTCGTTGTGGGGAGCCAGGGCAAGCATCGGCGGGAAGAGGTCTCTCCCTCCTCGTCGCTGGGTGGTGTTGGCTGAACCCCCGTCCCGGGCAGACGAGTGGGAGAGCCGAGGGGATAGCCGAGAGTAGGGCTCTGAGCATTCAGTAAGGATCGCCTGAGAGAGAGAGTTTCTCTCTCCTCGTCGCCGGGGGGTGTTGGATGAACCCCCGCCCCGGCCAGACGAGTGAGAGAACCCCAAGGGATAGCCGAGGGTAGGACGACATAGTGTTCGGGGGTCTGGGGTAAGGACCAAGAATAGAGAGCACCTACCTCTGGTGTGAGCTTAAGTGTCGAATGTACTTGTGTTTAATGAACGGCAACAGCCCTTAATAGTATTCCACGTCTCCGCGTGGTCTTACCGCACAACACGTGCAGCCAGTTTTTATTTTTAAGCGTTATGCTCCTCGTAACAACGCGCACCTCGGATTGGCGCGGTTGGCTACGTACGGTGCGAAAGGAGTTGGACGTACGTACGCACAAAACCGCCACGAGCATTGGGCCGTCTTCACGAGCGCTTTCGTGACCTCGTCTTAAGAGGCTCGACGTGGCGCGCGTCGCCGACGGATGGCGCGCGTGCGGTGTGCGGTCGTGTGCGCGATGCCACAGGTCGACTCGGCCTTCTGGTGCGGTGTGTGAACATCAGCACCGGGGAGACAAACTACGGCCGGGCATAATCCCGGCCAACCACCCCTTTCGTGTGCCCTTCCGGCCTTCATAACTGCTACTCGCTAACAGCACTCTCCCCGCCAGTCTATTAAAGGCTACACCTGGGGGGGGGGGGATCTTTGTCTCGGATAACCCCACAGGCATCTGCTGCTGGTGTTCGGCGGCCTGCAGGGACTGGAGTCGAGCCTGGCGAGCGACCGGAGGCTTCGCGTCGCCGAGCCGAGCCTCCTCTTCAACCTCTACCTCAATACCTGCCCCGGCCAGGCGAGCCGCACCATCCGCACCGAGGTGATGCCTCGCCGCGGCCTGCAGTGCCACGGCCGGCCTGGCATAGCCGTATACGCAATAATTTTTCACCGCCAACCGGGTGGTGTTCGGTGGCGGTGGTGACGCGGGTCATTGCTAACCATGCAACGCAGCTGCACGACAGCTGGAGCTCTCCATAATAATAATTGAACAAAAATACTTCGATTCGTCGACGGGTCATGATGAATGCACGTGCTTTTGAACTCTGTAGCCTATCTATACCCCTGTACTGCAGTAATGTACTTGAAGTTAATTAAAGTGGATGTTTTGTGTATGGCCCAAGTGGATGGGGGGGCAATGGATTCAGCGTTGACGTCACCATTCCCCCCCGGGGAAGCGAATGATGCAACCACCGGTGACTGAATTCAGCAAATCGTGGTCTCAACACCGCGTGCGTGCTAAATAAATCATCAAATAGCGCTATTGGTGGAGAGATGTTAACTACCCCGCCTGGTATGCAGGGGGTCGTGGGTTCGATCCCAACCCTGATGCCTGCTGAATATTTGGAGTTTGCGTAGTCTCTCTCCCTGTGGTTGCGTGGATTTCTTTCCGGGTCCTCTGGTTTTTCCCATCACATTTAGAATCGACATCACGCATTTTTGAGTATTTGGCTGCTCTACCTTTCCACGTTAGAAGCCATTTCGTTGAGCTATCATTTTGTGGGCCAGGTCGCTTCTGAAAAATATCCATACAGCTCAGTGGGCCTTACCCGGTAAAGCAATGTAATAGATTATGAAAAAAATAGTTTTTAATCGTGCCGACGCTGTTTCTTGTGTGGGACCGCGTGCCGCTCACAGGAGGCCATCCTCATCAGCCTGGCGATGCTGAGGCCCAAGATCACCGCCAGGGCCACGCGGACGGGCAGCGGCGGCTGCACGGACGCCCGGTAGAATGTTCCGTTGCCGCGGACGCCCGGTAGAACGGTCCGTTGCCACTGTCGGAAGCATGAGACATCGACAGCAGTAGGTCGGAGGAGGCTCGTGTCGCGATGGCGGGCGCTAGGGGCGGCTACGTATGTAACAGGGTCTGCCTGGCTGCAGCGGTGATGGGAAGGTGGTAGGATGGCCACCCAAAGACGCAAAGCCGCGAGGGGGAAACCGGATATGTACGAGTACGGAGGTCTTTACACGGGTTTCTCAGTTTTTTACGCGCGCATTACAAAGGTGTACGCCTACGGTCAGCTCGTTTAACCCCTTTCCCGTTCCGAGACGTCTGTCTGCAAGTTGCAGGGGTTGGAGGTCTTCCCGTTCACCGCCGAATCTCGGAACCCGCGCTAGCGGTTCAGCGTTCATTTTATTTATAGCGACGTAGCAGCAGCCGCGCTGCTGTTTTTAAAGACATCGCGCTCGCCGCAGAGAACCGTAGCGGCACGGCCGCCACTCTACGATAGCCGGCGCCAAACTGTGCCGCACGCCCTCCCGTGTGGCCTTGTGGGAGCCTCGGGGAACGTCTTTGGACCTGAAGACGTACCGATGAAGATGTTTCATTTTAAATATCGTCATCGGAAGAAAAACCGATGACGCCCAGCTATGTCATCGGATTTGGAAAGGGTTAATTATCTGGGGTAACGGTGGGGTGGAGGGGGGGGGGGCCTGAATAAAACCAAAACATCAATTATGCAACACACATGTACATTGTCCACGCAGAATGGAGGTGAGGATGCAAGGATCCTTCGTCTATATATATTTTTATTGCTTCTTAAAAGTAATTGGTTTTGCGCAGTAGCGGCGACTCGAGTCACCGACCCAGGACGAGTGAGGAGGAGCGAGTAATTAAACCGGTGTGCCCATGAAGATGTCTCAAACCGCAAGTACGGTTGGTCAAACCACATCCGCGCCTCCGATTAGCACGGTTGGCTACGTATGTTGCGAAAGAAGTTCAACAAATATACACAATTCCCACTGACTTAACACTGCCCACAGACTCAACACTGCGCCTCCGATGGGGACGGTTGGCTACATAGTGCGAAAAGGAGTTCAATGTACAAGACGTACACAACACAGGTGAGCAGCAGTCCGCTGTGTCGTGTGACACACGCTCGCGTTACACGACCGATAACAAGAGACAGCAAAGAGGTGGTTGTCGGCAGAGGTGTGTACTGCCTTCAGGGTTTGCTAAAGTATTTCGTTTTCCAATGCACCAATTTCATAAGGCTAAGGACTTGCGATTGAATAAGTGCACAGTGAGAATGCAGAGTTCACACGATCAAAAACATTACCAAGTTACCAAGCCTTCAGCGTGCACAACATTATTTGGCACGTGACGTGATGGGTACTGCGAGATCCGACCGTGGTCCGTCCAGTGCTCGCTGAGCTGCATTGGCTTCCGGTTTGCCGAACGAATACGTTATCATGAGGTTGCACTCGATGCACAAGAAAGTGCTTGCCGCAAATGAACCACAATTCCTTGCTGATCTCAAGAAGCATAAATCAAATTTCGATTTAAAGCTTTCGTGACTGCAGGGATTCATCTTCTTTGGTTCTTTCGGTAAAGTCACGTAGAAGGAGAATAAAATAATAAATTGATAAAATAAAATAACACAATAATATTCTCACGACGTTTCGGTCACGACAAAAGCGGCCTTCATCAGGTGAAGGGACGAGACTGTCTGGAGGACAGCGCTGGAGCGCACAAAGCCACGCTCAGATCGCGACCTTTAAGCTGTGTGAGAAGAAACAGAGCGCCCTGACAAAGGAATTAGCATAGAATTTAGCATTGAAATAGCTGAGTGATTAGCTTGAGTGATTAGCTGATCACTCAGCTAGCTTGCTAATCACTCAGATATTTCAATGCTAAATTCTATGCTAATTCCTTTGTCAAGGTGCTGTTTCTTCTCACACAGTTTAAAGGTCGCAATCTGAGCGTTGCTTTGTGCGCTCCAGTGCTGTCCTCCAGACAGTCTCGTCCCTTCACCTGATGAAGGCCGCTTGTGTCGTGGCCAAAACGTCGTGAGAATTTTATTGTGTTATTTTATTTGATCAATTTATTATTTTATTCTCATTCTATGTGACTTTACCGAAAGAACCAAAGAAGAAGCATAAAATCACCACGCAGATTCCGGTCATCCTCGCAGCGGCTTTTGGCTCGGCCATCGAACAAAGACGGTCAACAACCGCATTGCGCGGCGCTTTCAGATGCGCTTCCTGCCGAAAGGAAGCCACCCGAGCCACGCACCTTTTAAATCATCATCAAGAACTGCCTTTTGTGTTTTAGTTTGTTGTCCCTTCCCCCGCGCCTCCAATTAACACGGTTGGCTACGTACGGTGCGTGAAAGAAGTTCAACGCACATATGACCTCGGTTACCGTTGCCCTATGGGCCCTGGTGCAGTTGCAGCGCCTGCACACTCAGGAGTGCTACACCGCCGTGCTGTGCAACAGAGCCTTGTTGTGAAGTGTTTGGTATTTTGATTGAAAGCTTTCGGGACTTGCAGTAATTCATATTCTTAGCTCTTTCGGTAAAGTCACGTTGAAGGGAAACAATAAAATAAATATTAAAAATACACCGTTTAAAAATAAATTAATGCAAACCGATGCACCTGATGACGACCGTTTGTGTTATGGTCGAAACGTCGTGAGAATTTTTTTGTTTTATATATATTTTATTATTTTATTGTTTCCCTTCAACGTGACTTTACCGAAAGAGCTAAGACTATGAATAAGTGTTTGGTATTTTGACGGAGTTAGTGCGTATGAACAAATGTGTTTCAATTGGTAAATAAAGAAGTGGTTGTAACTGCGCTCGCATTGCATGGATTTCACTCCTGGGCATTATCACAAATTCATACACGGCGATCCATTTTGAGGTACACCACTGAAATAACGAGACTTTGTAGAGCAAACTGCATTTTATTTAAAGCTCTGCGTATGTGTCCAACCAAGTCTGTTAAGTTGCCCTACATTAATTGACCAACATTAACTGCTTTTTGTATTTTTTTTGTCCTTCCTCCACACCTCCGATGAGCACGGTTGGCCACGTACTGCGTAAAAGAAGTTCAACATCCATACGAAAGCAGTCAGTCCGATTTGGCGTTCGACATCACTTGTGGGGTATCTATGAATGGATCAGCGTGCGGACATTCAGGTGCGCGAACTGTTTTAAAACCGTGAAAGGTAAAGAGTTTCTCAATGTGCTCAGGTGTTCTACACGGCTTCATACCTCCTCGGGTTCATGTCAGTGGCCTCTCTCGGGTCTGTGTACGTGAAGGACTGCGCTCGTTACATATGCTATGGTTCCTTGTCAATATAACGCCGTATGAAAGCCTCCCGATACCGTTGAGAACCCCGACCGCCATGGTGACGAGATGTTAACTACCTCACCTGGTGTACAGGAGTTTGTGCATTCGATCCCGACCCTTGACAAAGCCTGCTGTATATTTGGAGTTTGCGTGTCTCTCTCTCCCCGTGGATTTTTCTATGGGTCCTCCGGTGTTTCCCTCCAAATTTAGAATGAATGTGTGTTTTAAGATTATTTGGCTGCTACACTTTTCCACGTGACAAGCTGCTTCGTTGCTCTGTCATTTGTGGCCAGGTCGCTTCTCAAAAAGAGCTATATAGCTCGGTGAGCCCTTACCTCGTAAAATACGAAAAGTTTAAATTTTGATTTAAAGCTTTCGTGACTGCAGTAATTCATATTCTTAGCTCTTTCGGTAAAGTCACGTTGAAGGGAAACAATAAAATAATAAAATATATATAAAACAATAAAAATTCTCATGACGTTTTGACCATAACACGACCGTTTGTGTTATGGTCGAAACGTCGTGAGAATTTTTATTGTTTTATATATCTTATTTGATTGTTTCCCTTCAACGTGACTTTACCGAAAGAGCTAAGAATACGAAAAGTTTAGTTTATATTTTGATTTAAAGCTTTCGTGACTGCAGGGATTCATATTCTTGGTTCTTTCAGTAAAGTCACGTAGAAGGGAAACAATAAAATAATAAAAATATAAAACAATAAAATTATCACGATGTTTCGAATGCAACACAAGCAATCATCATCAGGTGTGTAAGCCACAGCAATAATTTTTTTCAAATTGTCTTGCTGTGGTTTTCACACCTGATGATGATTGCTTGTGTTGCAGTCGAAAAGTCGTGAATTTGATTGTTTTATATTTTTATTATTTTATTGTTTCCCTTCTACGTGACTTTACCGAAAGAACCAAGAATATAGTTTAGTTTATAATCTTGATTTGAAGCTTTCGTTACTGCAGGAATCCATACTCTTTTGGTTCTTTCGGTAGAGTCACGTAGGTTAGAAAGTTAATAGGTCACAACGTTTCGATCGCAACAGAGGCCACCGTCATCAGGTGTGAAACAAACACAGCAGGAGAACTGCCGACGGAGGCGAAAGAGCTGCTGCAACAAGAGGTTATATAGGCTTTAGGAGAGCCCCAATCCAAGGGTAAGTGTTAATGCGAGCCGTCTCACATTAACATGCTAATCTCTTGCATTTACGTACAGATTCCTTCTCTAGCTCCGGCCCCCTTACCCTTGGGTTGGGCCCACCAAAAGCCTATATAACCTCTTGTTGCAGCAGCTCTTTCTCCTACGTCGGCAGTTCTCCTGCTGCGTTTGTGTCACCTGATGACGGTGGCTTGTGTTGCGATCGAAACGTCGCGACCTATTAATTTTCTACATACGTGACTTTACCGAAAGAACCAAAGAGTATAGTTGAGTTTATAGTTTACTTCTTGTCCCGCGCTGACTCGTCCGAGTGACAACCTCGCTGCGACATACGTAGTAGCGATAGAAGGGAAATGAGGAGGCGACTGACCCGCCGACGAGCGAGTGATTGGAGTGAATCATCAGAGATTGCTGTTTGTGTTTAGTTTGTCGTTCTTCCCCCGCACCTCCGATTAGCACGGTTGGCTACGTACGGTGCAAAATAATTTCAACGTACATACGAATCGGTGTCGTGCTGGTTCATCTATCGCCGACAGCTTTTCAATGAAATCCAACATTTACAACATTTGCAATTTTCAATTTAAAGCTTTCGTGACTGCAGGGATTAATATTCTTGGTTCTTTCGGTAAAGTCACGTAGAAGGGAAATAATAAAATAATAAAAATTAAACAATACAATTCTCACGACGTTTCGATTGCAACACAAGCAATCATCACATCAGGTGTGAAAATTTTCTTGCTGTGGTTTTTTCACACCTGATGATGATTGCTTGTGTTGCAATGGAAACGTCGCGAGAATGAAATTTTTATTTATTTTTTTATTTCCCTTCTACGTGACTTTACCGAAAGAACCAAGAATAACATTGGCAAGATTTTACTCCGGGCTGGTTCTCGAAGTTCTGAATCCAGTAGTGGCCAACGTACGAGCAATGCCATCTCTTTTACTCGCAGCAGTCAGCTCAACGTCCCGGTTAGCACATCCTGGATTTCCATCGTCGTCGTCGTGCGTATCCGGGTCCGTCTCGTCCCCGCCCAACCTCTCGATGTCGATCAAGAAATTGTGAAGTACGCACGCGGCACTGATAACGGCTGGGATGTAAGCGACCGCCGTCATGTCGAGGTACTTGAGCCTCCTCCACTTGCGCCTGAGTAGACCAAAAGCTCTCTCTATGTCCGCCCTCGTTGAGCCGTGGACCCTGTTGTAATTCCTCTGAAGCTCGGTGAGATGTCCGTCGTCTCCGTACGGCGATAGGAGGAAAGTCTCCAGAGGGTATGCCGAGTCCGCCAGCAGGTGGTAGTCCATCGTGCGTAGGCCCTCAAGGCGACTCCACAGCGGGCTTTTCCTCAGGGCCTCGGCACCCTCCGTGGATCCCGGCCGGCCCGTGTCGACGTCCAGGAACCTCAGCCTGCTGTCGCAAACCGCTTGCAGGTGAATGCTGGGGAAACCGCTCCTGTTGACGTACGCGTTCCTGCGCGACGGCGGTCCTCGAATGGGGATGTGCGTTCCGCCCAGAGCTCCGACGACGCCGGGAAATCCGCTTTTGTCTCGAAATCCTTGAGCGACTTTGGCCAACTGGTCGACGGAGGGCCACTTAATGGCCTCCGCTTGGCACTTGGAGAGAGCCTGCACGACGCTGCGGAACACGTAGTGCAGCGTTCCTTTTCCCATCCCGAACCGGTTGGCGACGTCTTGAAACGACTCCTGGTTGCCCAACAGCCAAAGGGAGCACAGGATTTTCTTTTCCATGCCCACGCTTCTGTTCGCGAATTGTGGCGCCAGACGCTCGCACAGAGTCTGCGATGAAGAAAACAGTACAAATGGGAGTTATCGCAAGGCCGTAATTATAATATATATGGGGGGGGGGACGTATCCCCACCCCCCAATATTCAAATATGCTCAAAATGTCCCCCCCAATATATTGCTATAAAATAGATTTCTGTTGATATGATTGTGGTTATGGTTGTACTTTATTAATCCCTAATCTCTGGCATTACATACAATGAAACAAGAAAAAGTAAAAACAGAGCAATGTAATACAATACACTATTAGACATTATTGTAAAAAAAAAAGTCCATCCAATGTGTTAGTGATTTTTTTTATTTTAGGCAGGAAATGGCATGAAATTAGTTTTCAAATTGAGATTTTTTTCTGGGGGGGGGGGACCCCTAGACCCCCTGGAAGATTTGGTACCCCCCCAATGTTGACTCCCATGGCTACGGCCTTGGGTTATCGTAACGGCGATACGAGTGGAAAATCTTTACAAAACACAAGATCATTTCAAAGGTCTATTCAAGGTGGGTGGGTGTGTTTGTAGAGTGGGGAGCGGTGGCGCAGCGGTTAGCGCGCTGCGAACCCGGCGACCCGAGTTCCCGCTCACGGCCAATACCAGTGACGATTATCTAGGTCGACTCAGCCTCAAATGAGTACCTGGTGCGGTGTGTAAACATCGCCAATGGGGAGACAAAGGCGGTCGGGCGTGGTGCTGGCCACCCACCCCCTCGTGTGCCGTTCCGGCCTTTCCTAGGTGCTGCCCGCTAACAGCACTTGCCCCCCGCTAACAGCACTTGCCCCAACAGTCTGTTAAGGTCACGTGGGTATAAAATAAAATAAATCACGACGTTTCGATCGCAACACAAGCGGTCGTCCTCAGGTGGAAAAAATATAATCCAGCAGTGGAACTATGGAACTGCTGGATTCTATTTTTTTCCGCCTGATGACGGACGCTTGTGTTGCGATCGAAAAGTCGTGATTGATTTTATTTCTACCTACGTGACTTTACCGAAAGAACCAAAGTGTATGGATTCCTGCAGTCACGAAAGCTTCAAATCAAGATTGAGTCTGTTAAGGTTATACGGGGATCTGTGTTTGTTGTGTACGTGTGTGGTAGTATAGCGGTTACTGCGCTGCGTTACGACCAGAGTTTGATTCCCACTCACGGCCAACTCTTGAATTTTCAGTCGCATTGCTCTACAGTATTCTAATATTAAGCCAGGCTGTTCAACCCTAACCATGTAGTTGCATAGGTGCAGATACAAGCATAGCCTCGCACCTCCGATTAACATACGTACATACTGCCCATAGCCTAAACACAGCACATAGACTAACACTACCCATAGATTCAACTACCCATAGACTCAAAAACTACCCATTGACTCGACAAATACTCATAGACTAACACTACCCAGAGGCTCAACACTACCCAGAGACTCAACACTGCCCACAGACTCAACACTGCCCACAGACTCAACACTGTCCATAGAAGTTTGATTTAAAGCTTTCGTGTTTGCAGGGATTCATATTCTTGTTTCTTTCGGTAAAGTCACGTAGAAAGGAAACAATAAAGTAATAAAAATATAAAACAATAAAAATAAATATTGTTTTATATTTTTATTATTTTATTGCTTCCCTTCTACGTGATTTTACCGAAAGAACCAAGAATACTACCTATAGACTCAACACTGCTAAGAGACTCAACACTGCCCACAGACTCAACACTGCCCATAGACTCAACACTGCACCTCCGATGAGCACGGATGGAAACGTACGGTGCGAAAGAAGTTCCACACAATGTGCACACAACAAAGAGGAAGCAGGGCGGGTGGCCCCTTTTAAACTCGTGAAAACAATTCTCGATGATTTACATTCGTCAAATTTTCGTCCGTCGAGGCCATCCGCGTGCAGCTGACGAGACTTAGAAAACGATTTTTCTTTAAACAACAAAAAATACATCTCTTCTTAATTGTACTGTTGGTTGTTCTCATTTGTTAACCAAGACATGTCAACAAAAAAACTAACAACGAACACAAAAAAAAACAAAATAAAAGATTTTTCTTTAAACAAACAGGTCCCTGCAGGGTGGGCTGGTAGGACAAGTCTCTGCGCTGTCAATTGCTGATTTTACACCCAACAGCACGAGATTTCACTTCGTTAAAGTATTGAAAGGGGACGGACGGACACATTAATCTATTGCAGGCTGGTACACTCAGTTTACAACTTCGTTCCTACCAGTAAAAAATACATAACTTTTCTTAATTGTACTGTTGGTTCTCATTTGTTAACCAGGAAATCTGTCAACAAAAAAAGTAACGAAAAAACCAACCTAAATAAAATATTTTTCTTTAAACAAAAAAAAATCCATAACTTTTCTTGTACTATATTCTTAGTTTTTTCGGTAAAGTCACGTTGAAGAGAAACAACAAAATAACAAAATATATATAAATCAATAAAAAATTCTAACGACGTTTCGACCATAACTCAAACGTTCATCATCAGGTGTGTCGGTTTCTTGTACTGTTGGTTGTTCTCATTTGTTAACCAAGGACATCTATCAACAAAAAAACTTAACAACGAACACAAAAAATCAACCTAAAGAGAGAGAGAGAGTGGAGAAAGCTTCCGTAGCTTTCGATCGCATTTCCGCGACCGTCGAAAGCACCACCACCAACAACGTTCGTCGTCGTCCGCGTGAGATGCCGGACCTGGAACGTCGAACGCTCCACCCGGTAGCAATCTCTGAAGGTGGCTCCCGGGTACAACGAGTGCCTTCCGCCAGGGCTCCCTTCGGAGCGAGCTCCTCGGCCTCCCGTCGCCTCCAACACCTCCACCACCGCCGTAGTTGTTGTTGTCGTTGTTGGTGTTGTCGTTGTTGTCAGAGCGGCGGCGGCGGCGGCTGCGGCGTTGGCGACCGACGCCGTCAGCTCGACCAAGGCGCACGCCGTGAGGTCGTCGTCCGCCACGAACTCGCACAGCAACATTGCCAGCGCGATGTTCTCCCCCATTTAACACGACGGGAGAAAGCGACGAACCCGTCTTTACCCACCCACCCAGCTCTCTCTCTCTCGCTCGTGGTTTTTGATGTTTACCATCAGAGGAAACAAGAAGATGCTCGGTGTCGTCGGAAATTTGCTTCGTTCAGCATTTCGGGGTTTTTTTTTGTGTCAATGTTTTGTTTTATGTAAGACCCCCCCCTCCTCCTCCTCTTGTTTAAATGAAGGATCTCTCTCCTTTCTTCTGTGTCTCGTCTCTCTCTGTGTGTGCAGCAGCACCACCATCACCGCCCCGAGCACGCCGTTCAATTGGAGAGAATTTCCGCAGCGCCACCGAAGAGCGCTCTGCCGCCTTTTGCTACGGGGGTGGAGGGGGAGGGGGTGGAGGAGGGGTGGGGGGAGGGGCAGTGACGTCACGTGGGGGGTGCGGACCGCACCGGGTGACACCATCAGAGGGGGTGACGCCAAAATCACTGTCCATAAATGACGTCACGCGATTTTGGACGATTTTTGCCCCCCCCCCCTTTCGTCACACGGCGTCACAAAAAGTCAGACCCCCCCCTCAAATATGACGTCACAAAGCTCTGCCCCCCCCCTCAAATATGACGTCACAAAGCTCTGCCCCCCCCCCCCCCCCAAAATAATACATGCTTCAAATCGCTTTAAACTATTGTCATTGTAGTGCGTATTTAATGTGGCGCTGCACTCTGATGTTGTAGGAGAAAAAAATATGTAAAAGTTATTTTTAATTAAGTAGAACGTGTTGCCATTATTTATTTACAGTTGCGCAGTTTGATGTGACGTCACATTTCTCAAACCCCCCTCGTCACGCATCGTCACAAATGTCTGACCCCCCCCCCCAGGTGCGTGACGTCATTTATGGACGGCCCCAAAGGTCTTCCCGGTCGGTTGTATCCTCGTATCGCGCCGCCGATCGGCACGGTTTGGCCACGTATGGTGCGAAAGAAGTTCAACATAGTGCATTTACACATCTTCCCTGACAAAGATGGACTTCTTTGAACCTCGTAGTACAAAACGGACCGTCTCCCCCTCACCAAGATGGCTACCCCCGAACGTCACGTCCGGCTCCCCCCGCGCTGTCCCGCCCGAGCCGTTGTCGCCGTGGAGACGCGAAACGCCCCGCCCTCGGTCGCCATAGAGACGCCCCGCCCCTCCGGTGGTCGCCTGGGAGACGCGCCCCCGCCCCGCCTCGCCCGCGGTCGCCACGGAGACGCGCCCCCGCCTTGCCGGTAGTCGCCATGGAGACGCGAGACGCCGCCGTCAGCGATGGACGCCACTCAGAGGCCGCTGCGGGTGCCGACAGACCTGGAGGTCTACGCCGAGGCGCATGGCCTCTTCGATCTCTGCAAGGCGAGTTGGAGCCACGACCTCCACAACAACAACCACGACGACGACGCCGCGGGGCAACAGACACCCGCGTGCAATGCGTGACCCGTGTGACGATAGGAGGAGCGAGAGTTCCAACGTTCGTGGGCCTATTTTATTGAAGGGACTCTTACGTTAAATTTTGATTTAAAGCTTTCGTGACTGCAGTAATTCATATTCTTAGCTCTTTCAGTAAAGAGCTAAGAATATGACTCTTACGTTGTTGTTGTTGTCTTGGTGTGACCCCTTCGATTATTTTTTTCAGTTGCGTTTGTTGCCCGCCCAAAGTTTTGGGAATTGTTATTCTTTGGGTCTTTCGGTGAAGTCACGTAGATAGGTTCAAAGAAAATAACAAAAAACTACGACGTTTCGATCGCAACACAAGCGGTCGTCATCAGGAAAAGGTGGGGGGGGGGGGAATTGATGTCCTCTACTTATGCAATTTGCTCTTATATATATACACCTTATTTATTTCTATTCATTCGTCTAGTGATCCCAATGCTGTAACCTTCTTACCCGCCTCTACTGGACATCTGTGGGGGGAAGAGCTTCTTAACTTATCGGATTTCTCCAGGATAAATAAAGATTCTGAATTCTGATGCGATTCCGTCTCAGAATCTACTGGAGCAGGTGCTTATACACAAGCCCGACGACCCCATCCAGTTTTTCATCGACGCCATCAACCGCGATAACCAGGATGGTGAGGACCCCTCGTCACCGTGACCACCGTCGCCGTGACCACCGTCGCCGTGACCACCGTCGCCATGACCACCGTCGCCATGACCACCGTCGCCGTGACCACCGTCGCCATGACCACCGTCGCCGTGACCACCGTCGCCATGACCACCGTCGCCATGACCACCGTCGGCATGACCACCGTTGCCGCATCATCGCCATCACCGCCAACGCTGCCGTCGCCCTCATCACCTCCCTCACCGCCACCGGCATCATCCTCACGACCGGCATGATAGCCATCATCGCCATCGCGGCCGTCGCTACCGTGTGATTGGCATCGCTTTCGTTGTCATCATCACTGTCGTTGTCATCACCACTACCATCACCATCATCATCATCGCCATCATCATCACCATGATCGGCATCACTGTCGTTGTCATCACCACTACCATCATCATCATCGTCATCATCATCACCATGATCGGCATCACTGTCGTTGTCATCACCACTACCATCACCATCATCATCATCATCGCCATCATCATCACCATGATCGGCATCACTGTCGTTGTCATCACCACTACCATCATCATCATCGTCATCATCATCACCATGATCGGCATCACTGTCGTTGTCATCACCACTACCATCATCATCATCGCCATCATCATCACCATGATCGGCATCACTGTCGTTGTCATCATCATTGCCATGATCATCATCACCATGATCGACATCATTGTTGGTGTCATGATCACTACCATTATCATCACTACCATCATCATCACTACCATCATCACCATGATCGGCATCACTGTTGATGTCATGATTACTATCATCATCATCACCATGATCGGCATCACTGTTGGTGTCATCATCGCTATCATCATCACCATGATCGGTATCACTGTCGCTGTAATCATACTACCATCATCATCACCATGATCGGTATCACTGTCGCTGTAATCATCACTACCATCATCATCACCACCATAATCGGCATCACTGTTGGTGTCATCATCACTACCATCATCATCACCATGATCGACATAATTGCCAGTATTATCATGACCATCATCACCGCCATCTACACGGCCATCTTCACCATCACCATCATTGCGGCCACCACTGCCATCACCATTATCACCAAAGACAAATAATCCCCATAAAGCCTTACCAGACTTTTGGGGCAAGTGCTGTCAGCGGCCACCTGTGAAGGCCAACACGGCACACGAGGGGGTGGGTGGCCAGCACCACGCCCGGAGGGTGGTGCAATGCATGGGCGTATAAACTGAGAACTGAGAGAACTCACGCATATACTGTGAATGGATAACACGGGAAGGTCTGCACGGGTGGGTTCATGAACCAATTTGCTGTGCTGCCGCATCCTGGCCACCTCAGGTCATCAACGTTTAGGAGATTCACACCGACCGTCGCCTCCAAATTGCTAGATCACAGGCATGCGCCACCCACAACACCACCACGGTACCACACCACCATACCACCACACCTCACAACCACCACATCACCACACTGCCACACCACCACCACACCACCACGCCACCACATCACCAAGCCACCACCTCACCACGCCACCACGCCACCACCACACCACCACATCACCACACCACCACATCACCACCACGCCACCACATCGCCACCACGCCACCACGCCACTATACCACCACCACGCACCACACCACCACCACCACAGCACCACGCCACCACACCACCACCACACCACCATGCCACCACACGACCACGACCACACCACCACATCACCACACCACCACATCACCACGCCACCACGTCACCAAGCCACCACCTCACCACGCCACCACACCACCACGCCACCACGCCACCACACCACCACCACACCACCACACCACCACATCACCACGCCACCACACCACCACAACACCACGCCAGGCTATTAGCTGAATGGAGCACAGCATATGGCATGTCCCCCCTCTCTGTTTAGAAGTGGGGTTAGCGGCTACCGACTGTGTTGCCCCGACAATAGACTGTGCTGTGTGATTATTAACACGACACGCGTGCCGGCGAATGTTTGCAGTGCCAAGGATCCTACTACTGGGGCCTCCTGCCTCTGGCAAGACCACGATTGTAAGTCGAGCGAGTCTCTGTGAAGGGTTAACCCAGGGGGAATCTGATCCTTACCCCTGTGTAGTATTAATAGTTCAATGTTAAAAAAAAATGTATTGAGGGGCTACTGTGTGACTCGTTTTGCTGTGGTCTGGGACTGTTTTTTTGTTTTGCTGCCTTGCCCAAGATTGCATTTGGTGTTGTAAAATCGTCAGGAATTGATGTACTTATGCAATTTGTACTCATATGCTTTTATTTATTTATATTTAGTGAATTGCTTAGATTTCTTAAAATTTGCAATTCTATCGTGTTTTTGTACTGGTTGTTGTTGTTGTAACTTTCTGACCCGCCCCTATTGGACATTTGTAAAAAAGAGCTTCATAGCTCATCGGATTCCTCCAACGATAAATCAAGATTCTGATTCTGATCCACACGGCCCACGGCCAGCAGTGGCCTATCGCTTCAGGGCATTGCCGATTTTTTTCGTATTCGTGAAACAACGCCGATAGGCAATCGTCATACAATTATGGGAAGAGATAACATGAAAAAGTGTAAACCAGGGTATTGTATGTAACGTATGTGTGTTTAACTTCTTTCGCACCGTACATAGACACCCGTGCTAATTGGAGGCGCAGTGTTGAGTCTATGGGAAGTGTTGAATCTATGTATAGTGCTGAGTCTATGGGCAGTGTTGAGTCTATGGGCAGTGTTGAGTTTATGGGTAGTGTTGAGTCTATGGGCAGTGTTGAGTCTATGGACAGTGTTGAGTCTATGGGTAGTGTTGAGTCTATGGGAAGTGTTGAGTCTATGGGCAGTGTTGAGTCTATGGACAGTGTTGAGTCTATGGGCAGTGTTGAGTCTATGGACAGTGTTGAGTCTATGGGTAGTGTTGAGTATATGGGCAGTGTTGAGTCTATGGGCAGTGTTGAGTCTATGGATAGTGTGGAGTCTATGGGCAGTGTTGAGTCTATGGTGCAGTGTTGAGTCTATGGGCAGTGTTGAGTCTATGGGCAGTGTTGAGTCTATGGATAGTGCTGAGTCTATGGATAGTGTTGAGTCTATGGGTAGTGTTGAGTCTACGGGCAGTGTTGAGTCTATGGGCAGTGTTGAGTCTATGGATAGTGTTGAGTCTACGGGCAGTGTTGAGTCTATGGGCAGTGTTGAGTCTATGGATAGTGTTGAGTCTACGGGCAGTGTTGAGTCTATGGGCAGTGTTGAGTCTATGGATAGTGTTGAGTCTATGGACAGTGTTGAGTCTATGGGTAGTGTTTAGTCTATGGATAGTGCTGAGTCTACGGGCAGTGTTGAGTCTATGGGCAGTGCTGAGTCTATGGGCAGTTTAGAGTCAATGGGCAGTGTTGAGTCAATGGGCAGTGTGCTGAACTTCTTTCGCACCGTACGTAGCCAACCGTGCTAATCGGAGACGGCGGGTTTGTTGGCTCTGTGTGTCCAGGCAAGGCTTGCGTGCGAGAGGCTTGGAGCGGTGCACGTGAGCATGGACAGACTGGTCGCCAACACAGGCTCGGACTTTGCGGCAGAAGTGAGACGGCTGAAGGAAACCGGCCAGGTAGGTGGTGTGCGTTCTCACACATACACAAAGACCCCCCGTGTAGCCTTTAACAGGCTGTTGGGGCAAGGGGACGTCCATAAATGACGTCACGCACCTGGGGGGGGGGGGGTTAGACATTTGTGACGATGTGCGACGAGGGGGGGGGGTGAGAAATGTGACGTCACATCAAAATGCGCAACTTTAAATCAATATAGAAAAAGACGTTCTACCTAATTAAATAGACTTTTTGATAAATATTTTCTCCTACAACATCAGAGTGCAGCGCCACATTAAATACGCACCACAATGACAATAGTTTGAAGCGATTTTAAGCATGTTTTATTTTTTTTGGGGGGGGGGGGCAGAGCTTTGTGACGTCATATTTGAGGGGTGGGGGGGGGGAGCTGACTTTTTGTGGACGCCGTCTGTTGCGCGTCGTCGCTTTAAGATGTTCTGTATTCAAATTTAGTTTGTTGCGGTTGCACCCGACTGAAGAGCCGCATGGCTCACAGGGCTGTACCTAATAAATGAAACTTGAAAGCTTGAAACTTGACGAGGTGGGGGGGGGGGGGGGTCAAAAATCGTCAAAAATCGCGTGACGTCATTTATGGACGGCCCCCAAGTTGTTAGGAAGCACATATGGGGGCCGTTACGGCACGTGAAGGGGTGGGTGGGTGGGTGGCCAGCACCACGCTCTGCCGCTTTTGTCTCCCCAGTGCTGATATTTTACGCAATACGCCAGGCGCTCGTTTAAGGCTGAGTCGACCTAGCGGAGGCCCTGGAGCGGTTCAGATATTTGTCATGAGCGCGTTAACGGAACTCGGCTCGCCAGGTTCATAGCACGGTGCACTAACCACTACACTACCGCTCCAAAGACATATAGCCTTAACAGACTGTTGGGGCAAGTGCAGTGTGCGAGCAGCACCTATGAAAGCTGGCACGGCACACGAGGGGGTGGGCGGCCAACACTATGCCTGGCCGCCTTTGTCTCCCCAGTGGCGATGTTTTTACACACCGCACCAGGCGCTCATTTGAGGCTGATTCAACCTAGGGGAGGCCCAGGACCGGTTCAGGAAATCGTCACCGGTGGTGGCGGGAATCGAACCCGGGTTGCAGAGTTCGTAGCGCAGTGCGCTAACCGCTACACTAGCGCTCCCCATCCGCGCACGCAAACGCAAGCGTGCGCGTGCTGCTACTCAGGACGGCTGGACTGCGTCATAGTATGGCTCCGTTCGCCGATCACAGCAGGAAGTCAACGCCTCTGGGCGATATCTGCTGTGTTTGATGGGTAACGTGAAAAAAAAATCTCCAAGTCAGGTGTAACCCCGATGGAAAAGGGCCTTCGGAACATAAACGGTAAACTAAACTATTATTATTTTACCAGGTAAGGCCCACTGAGCTATATAGCTCTTTTTCAGACGTGACCTGGCCACAAATGATAGCTCAACAAAGTGAGTGACCACGTGAAAACGTACAGCAGCAGCCAAATACACTAAACGCGTGACGTTGATTCTCAATGTGGAGGGAAAAACCGGAGGACCTGGAGAGAAAAATTTACAAGACCACAGGGTTGAGAGACACGCAAACTCCAAACATCTCCTAGCCACTGTGATGGTGATGAGAGAGAGAGAGACATGCAAACTCCAAATAATCAACAGGCGTCAGGGTCGGGATCAGACCCATGTTCTCCTGCAAACCAGGCGAAGTAGTCAACATCTCCTAGCCACCGTGATGATGATGAGTGAGAGAGACACGCAAACTCAAAATATACAGCAGCAGACCTCAGGGTCAGGATCAAACACTCAACCGCCTACACACCAGGCGAGATAGTTAACATTTCACCACTTCTGTTCTCATTGGGTTTCTTTATACTAAATAGTTGTCGTGATGTACAGCCCCTTTGTCAATCCACGGCTGGATGAAGGCCCCCCCACCACCTACCCCCCCAACACCATGCCGGTCATGGGCGTTGTTTGGCCATGCTTCACCACTCACCATGCTGGTCAGCGTGGCCTGGTGAGGCGGGGAGGGGGGGTGTTCAGCAGCGGTTCAGACATTGCCCGCCACCGATGGCAGCCGTGACGCCAAAATTGAACTCGGGTACGAGGCTTCACAGCGCGCGCGCGCTCACCACTCTGACGCCGCTCTTAACCGGCTGTAAATAAGCGCCATCTGTCTATCCCATTGACATCCTTTATTTAAAAGCGCGGGAACATAGAAGTTCAGCGCAGCAGTGGAATGTTCTGCACTGCTCTCTTTTGCTCAGCACGTGGCCCCGTAGCCCATAGACGTGTGTACGTATGTAAATTGAACTTCTTTTGTACCACCGTATGTAGCCAACCATGCTAACTGGAGGTGTGGGGGAAGGAGAACAAACTAAACGCAGCCTCTTTGTGCGTTGTCGTTGCCCATCCAAGCACTCTCCAGGCTCAAATGCTGCTTAGATTCCGAGCTCTGACAGAGATCGGGCATGTTCCAGTTAATTTGGTAAAAGGCCACCGAGCTGTTACCTGCCGTTTAAGTCAACCCTTCTGCTTGCCGCGTGCATCCTGTGTGTGCATGGCTCCCGCAGGAAGTGCCGCCCCACCTGTGGGTGAGACTCGTGCGGGACAGGCTCATGGAGAACGACTGCACCAACCAGGTGCCACCTGCTTGGGCACGAGGCTCCACGTCCTCGCCTCGCCCTTCCTCACCGTGCCTCTCCCTTCCTCGCCCTTCCTTGCCATGCCTCACCCTTCCTCACCGTGCCTCACCCTTCCTCACCGTGCCTCGCCCTTCCTCGCCGTGCCTCGCCCTTCCTCGCCGTGCCTCGCCCTTCCTCGCCCTTCCTCACCGTGCCTCTCCCTTCATCGCCCTTCCTCACCCTTCCTCACTGTGCCTCGCCCTTCCTCACTGTGCCTCGCCCTTCCTCACTGTGCCTCGCCCTTCCTCACTGTGCCTCGCCCTTCCTCGCCGTGCCTCTGCGGCCGTCTGGAATGCTCTTTTGTCTTCCGATATTAGGAAGCCACTGGAGCTATGCACTTTTAAAATCATCTGGATTGACAATCTAATTTCTTACATACGAACACACTTCCTCGTGACCGACCCAGGGACAAAGCATCGACACGCACACGCACGGAAGGGCACGCGACCATCGATGGAGAGTCCCAGCCAGACGAGCAGCGTGGAAACATCAACAAGTCAGGTGTAATCCAAATGGAAAAGGGCCTTCAGAACGTAAACTATTACTAAGCAATTTTTATTTTACCAGGAAAGGCCCACTGAGCTATACTGCTCTTTTTCAGAAGTGACCTTGCCACGGATAATAGCTCGATGAAATGGATTGTCATCATGTGGAAATTTACAGCAGCTAAATGCTCTCAACCGCGCATTCATAAATAAACGTGGAGGGAAAAACCGGACGACCCGGAGAAAAAGTAACGAGACCACGGGCAGAACATGCAAACTCAAAATATACAGGCATATCGTCAAGGTCGGAATTCAACCCACGATCTTCTGTAAACCAGGACAGGGAGTTAACATCTCGCCGCCGCGGTCCTCCACTAACACCACCACCCCGCCCCCCCCCTCCCCCCCCGGTGCCCTCACCTCTCGCCTCCCCCTGTCTGCATGTCGCGGCGCGGCAGGGCTGGCTGATTGAAGACTTCCCTCAGACGCGGCCACAGGCCCTGCTGCTGCAGGAGAAGGGAATCGCCCCTCGTCACGTGGGTGAGCTCTGCGTTGCCCTGACACCTCACCACCGGCACTCACAGTGCAACCGGCAATTACGCTGTTAGGGTAAAGGCATTGTCCTGCAATTGCTTGTACGTATCTTGAACTTCTTTCGCACCGTATCTAATCGAACGTGCTAAATCGGAGGTGCGGGGGAAGGACAACAAACTAAACACAAAAAGCAGTTTTCAATATAGATGATTTACAAGTGCTTAACTCTGGTGGCTTCTTAAATATCAGAAGGAACAGCGTTCCAGACGGCCTACGGAAGCGCACTTGAAAGCGTGGCTTCCTAAATATCAGAAGGAAGAGCGTTCCAGACGGCTACGGAAGCGCACATGAAAGCACACGTGGTGAACGTCTTTATTCGACGGCCAGCTGCTGCGAGGATGACCGCAGTTCACGTGATGGTGGTTCATGCTCCTTGACGAGATCAGCGAGGTGTTGTGGTTCGTTTGCGGCAAGCACTTAACGTGCAATGAGGCGTGACCTTATAACAGTGCCTTTCACAACAAGTTGTCCCAGAAGCTGGCAGGCCACGGTGGTAATTCCGTTTTGGAAAAGGACAAATCACTGGACGTTTTGTGACAACGTGACGCCGATAGGAACGCTCGGGATAGAACATTTGGGAAAATTTGTTTGAAAAGACCGAAACAGGTGGAGGACTTCGTCACAATTCTGGCTAATCGCGTCATGAGGCCGGTTGTTGTAATCACCAGCGAAACGTCTCATTACGCGAATTGTAAATCGCATGGGTTTACTCTCCATAGTTAGTTAGTTCATAGTTCATTTATTTGGTATAGCCCTGTGAGCCATTCGGCTCTTGAATCGGGTGCAACCGCAACAAACAAAAAACATGAACAAGAAAACATCTTAAAGTGACTATGTGTGACTGTGCAAACAGAAAATACAGGAAAAAAATATCAAAATATTCCTGAAATAGCACCGTACACCAACGCTGTGTGCAAAAATCCCAGTGGGATGCAAGTCAAACAACAACAACAACCACAAGACAACTAAGATTAAGGCCATCAGTCTAACTCCGTACTACAATAAACAAAAACATGGCCAAAACAAAAAAAACTCCAACACGCCGGTGTGCTGAAGTCGTCACTAATTGGCACGTTGTGTTCACGTGACACAACCATACTTAATTGGCTGTGTCGGGTGGTGGCGGGTTTAACGATACACGTTTATATTTCCACAATCCAGCCCGTAAAAAAAAACACAACCTTTATTATGGACTGTTTGAAATAGTTGCTAAATCGCGTGCGTGGTCGCGTGTGCAGTCATGCTGGATGCCCCCGACGCCGTGCTCATAGAACGCAACCAGGGCAAGCGCGTGGACCCGCTCACCGGAGGTGAGAGAGGCGGCGGTGGCGACCCCCCCCCCCCCGCACCGACAGCCTCACCGCCTCACACGCGCCAAGAAGGAGTGGCGACGGGTGGCTAGGTCACGCCACGTTAGGGTCTGGTTGGTCGGCGTGGTTAGAGCCGTGCCCCTGGCCTTTAACCACACTAATTGGCGAGTGTGGTTAGAAACCAGGGGTGCGGCTGGGGTTTAATTGGGTAGTTTGTTTAGAATCCAGGGGTATGGCTGGGGTATAATTGGGTAGTTTGGTTGGAAGCCAGGGGTACGGCTGGGGTTTAATTGGGTAGTTTGGTTAGAATCCAGGGGTACGGCTGGGGTTTAATTGGGTAGTTTGGTTAGAATCCAGGGGTACAGCAGGGGTTTCATTAGGTAGTTTGGTTAGAATCCAGGGGTACGGCTGGGGTTTAATTGGGTAGTTTTGTTAGAAGCCAGGGGTTCGGCTGGGGTATAATCGGCGAGTGTGGTTAGAAGCCAGGGGTATGGCTGGGATGTAATTGGGTAGTGTGGTTAGAATCCAGGGATATGGCCGGGGTTTAATTGGGTAGTTTGGTTAGAATCCAGGGGTACGGCTGGGGTTTAAATGGGTAGTTTGGTTAGAAGCCAGGGGTACGGCTGGGGTTTAATTGGGTAGTTTGGTTAGAAGCCAGGGGTACGGCTGGGGTATAATTGGGTAGTTTGGTTAGAAGCCAGGGGTTCGGCTGGGGTATAATTGGGTAGTGTGGTTAGAAGCCAGGGGTACGGCTGGGGTTTAATTGGGTAGTTTGGTTAGAAGCCAGGGGTACGGCTGGGGTATAATTGGGTAGTGTGGTTAGAATCCAGGGGTATGGCCGGGGTTTAATTGGGTAGTTTGGTTAGAATCCAGGGGTACGGCTGGGATTTAAATGGGTAGTTTGGTTAGAAGCCAGGGGTACGGCTGGGGTTTAATTGGGTAGTTTGGTTAGAAGCCAGGGGTACGGCTGGGGTATAATTGGGTAGTGTGGTTAGAATCCAGGGGTACGGCTGGGGTATAATTGGGTAGTGTGGTTAGAATCCAGGGGTATGGCGGGGTTTAATTGGGTAGTTTGGTTAGAAGTCAGGGGTACGGCTGGGGTTTAATTGGGTAGTTTGGTTAGAAGCCAGGGGTACGGCTGGGGTATAATTGGGCAGTTTGGTTAGAATACAGGGGTACGGCTGGGATATAATTGGGTAATGTGGTTAGAATCCAGGGGTATGGCCGGGGTTTAATTGGGTAGTTTGGTTAGAATCCAGGGGTACGGCTGGGGTTTAATTGGGTAGTTTGGTTAGAAGCCAGGGGTACGGCTGGGGTTTAATTGGGTAGTTTGGTTAGAAGCCAGGGGTACGGCTGGGGTATAATTGGGTAGTGTGGTTAGAAGCCAGGGGTTCGGCTGGGATATAATTGGGTAGTGTGGTTAGAAGCCAGGGGTATGGCTGGGGTATAATTGGTGAGTGTGGTTAGAAGCCAGGGGTATGGCTGGGGTATAATTGGTGAGTGTGGTTAGAAGCCAGAGGTATGGCTGGGGTATAATCGGTGAGTGTGGGTAGAATCCAGGGGTACGGCTGGGGTATAATTGGTGAGTGTGATTAGAAGCCAGGGGTATGGCTGGGGTATAATCGGTGAGTGTGGTTAGAAGCCAGGGGTATGGCTGGGGTATAATTGGTGAGTGTGGTTAGAAACCAGGGGTATGGCTGGGGTATAATCGGCGAGTGTGGTTAGAAGCCAGGGATTCGGCTGGGGTATAATTGTCTTTGTGTGGTTAGAAGCCAGGGGTACGGCTGGGGTATAATCGGCGAGTGTGGTTAGAAGTCAGGGGAACGGCTGGGTTATAATCGGCGTGTGGTTAAAAGTCAGGGGTACGGCTGGGGTATAATTGTCTTTGTGTGGTTAGAAGCCAGGGGTACGGCTGGGGTATAATCGGCGAGTGTGGTTAGAAGTCAGGGGTACGGCTGGGGTATAATTGGCTTTGTATGGTTAGAATCCAGGGGAACGGCTGGGTTATAATCGGCGAGTGTGGTTAGAAGTCAGGGGGTATAATCGGCGAGTGTGGTTAGAAGCCAGGGGTATGGCTGGGGTATAATTGGCTCGTGTGGTTAGAAGCCAGGGGTACGGTTGTGGTATAATCGGCGAGTGTATTACTCGGTGCAGGGCCGGGCCTCTCATTGGCTGCTGCGGTTAGGAATTGGGTTAGGGCAGGGGATCCACAAACCAAAATACCAAAAAAAGCCACATTTTATTCGAATTTGGTAAAAATATTTAAAGAGCCACACAATGCATGTGGTGAATATGAGACGGTGGGTCCTTGACGTCACGAAGCAGCCCTTGGAAGAGCCACATGCGGCTCCGGAGCCAAAGGTTGCCGACCCCTGGGTTAGGGTTAAGGTCTGGTTACCTAGCGTGGTAAGGTTGGGAATCTAGCCGTGTAGTGTGGTTAGGGTTAGGGTCTGCATGGCTAGGTTTGTGAGAGTGTTAGCTCGTTCAGGCTAGAATCTGCTGTGCTTAGTGTGGGTTGAGGATAGGGCTACATCCAATACTTTGCTCTGGTTGGTTAGCACACTCCAATCCATAACAGTGCAACTCCTTCTGTTCCCAAGTAAGATCATTCCTCTTTCCAAACTCCGGCATTCACCGGCGTGTGTCCGTGCGTCTCCCCGTTAAGACTTCAACCACATGAGTGTGGTTCTAGTTCGAGCCATGCCAAGTAAATGTGCCAAATTAGAAAAAATTACGCACAAGTCACTCAACTGAGAGAACACGTAGCATTCATCGCCCCGAACTGCAAAAACAATTGCAGATTATGTCTATAAGCCACGGTTCCCTGGGTAATGAGAGTGGCACGGAAACCAAAAGGCACTCATAATTTGATTTGACGAGCAAACGTAGATCATTTCACGATCGCGGGTTGCGCGCGCGCGTGTCCCCGTGGCAGACGTGTACCATGCCACCTTCGCCTGGCCCAATGAGCCGAGCGTGCGCGCCCGCCTGCTGGCGCCGCCGGGCATCTCCGAGGAGCGCACGGCGGAGCGGCTGCGGCGCCACCGCAGGGACGCGTGGGCTGTCGAGGCCTGCTACCCCAGCTGCCTGCGCAGCGTCAACGCCGACCAGCCGGCGCCCGACCTGCTGGCACAAGGCAAAGCCAGCTATGGCTGCAAAGTTTGGTCGTACATGTTATGTACAGTGAGGGAAAAAAGTATTTGATCCCCTGCTGATTTTGTACGTTTGCCCACTGGCAAATAAATGATCAGTCTATAATTTTAATGGTAGGTTTATTTGAACAGTGAGAGACAGAATAACAACAACAAAATCCAGAAAAACGCATGTCAAAAATGTTATAAATTGATTGGCATTTTAATGAGGGAAATAAGTATTTGACCCCCTCTCAATCAGAAAGATTTCTGGCTCCCAGGTGTCTTTTATACAGGTAACGAGCTGAGATTAGGAGCACACTCTTAAAGGGAGTGCTCCTAATCTCAGCGTGTTACCTGTATAAAAGACACCTGTCCACAGAAGCAATCAATCAAGATTCGAAACTCTCCACCATGGCCAAGACCAAAGAGCTCTCCAAGGATGTCAGGGACAAGATTGTAGACCTACACAAGGCTGGAATGGGCTACAAGACCATTGCCAAGCAGCTTGGTGAGAAGGTGACAACAGTTAGTGCGATTATTCGCAAATGGAAGAAACACAAAAGAACTGTCAATCTCCCTCGGCCTGGGGCTCCATGCAAGATCTCACCTCATGGAGTTGCAATGATCATGAGAACGGTGAGGAATCATCCCAGAACTACACGGGAGGATGTTGTCAATGATCTCAAGGCAGCTGGGACCATAGTCACCAAGAAAACAATTGGTAACACACTACGCCATGAAGTACTGAAATCCTGCAGCGCCCGCAAGGTCCCCCTGCTCAAGAAAGCACATATACATGCCCGTCTGAAGTTTGCCAATGAACATCTGAATGATTCAGAGGACAACTGGGTGAAAGTGTTGTGGTCAGATGAGACCAAAATGGAGCTCTTTGGCATCAACTCAACTCGCCGTGTTTGGAGGGGAGGAATGCTGCCTATGACCCCAAGAACACCATCCCCACCATCAAACATGGAGGTGGAAACATTATGCTTTGGGGGTGTTTTTCTGCTAAGGGGACAGGACAACTTCACCGCATCAAAGGGACGATGGACGGGGCCATGTACCGTCAAATCTTGGGTGAGAACCTCCTTCCCTCAGCCAGGGCATTGAAAATGGGTCGTGGATGGGTATTCCAGCATGACAATGACCCAAAACACACGGCCAAGGCAACAAAGGAGTGGCTCAAGAAGAAGCACATTAAGGTCCTGGAGTGGCCTAGCCAGTCTCCAGACCTTAATCCAATAGAAAATCTGTGGAGGGAGCTGAAGGTTCGGATTGCCAAACGTCAGCCTCGAAACCTTAATGACTTGGAGAAGATCAGCAAAGAGGAGTGGGACAAAATCCCTCCTGAGATGTGTGCAAACCTGGTGGCCAACTACAAGACACGTCTGACCTCTGTGATTGCCAACAAGGGTTTTGCCACCAAGTAGTAAGTCATGTTTTGCAGAGGGGTCAAATACTTATTTCCCTCATTAAAATGCAAATCAATTTATAACATTTATGACATGCGTTTTTCTGGATATTTTTGTTGTTATTCTGTCTCTCACTGTTCAAATAAACCTACCATTAGAATTATAGACTGATCATTTCTTTGTCAGTGGGCAAATGTACAAAATCAGCAGGGGATCAAATACTTTTTTCCCTCACTGTATATCGTTTATAGTTTAATTTGAATCACAGTTCCTGTGATCAGTGTCACATTGTTTTTATCGCTTTATTTTGTTGATTTTGAAGACGTTTTGATTGTTATTGTTTGACTTGCATCCCACTGGGATTTTTGCACACGGCGTTGATATGCGGTGTTTTTTTCTGGAAGACTTTTGCTGTTTTTTTCCTGGATTTTTCTGTTGCGTGTAGTCACTTTAAGATGTTTCTTGTTCGTGTTTTTGTTTGTTGCGGTTACACCCGAGTCAAAAGCCGCATGGCTCACAGGGTTATACCTAATAAATTAAACTGAAACTGAAAAAAACTGAAGCGCCACCACACATGCTCAGGAGAATTACTAAGCTATGAACTATAAAATACAATAAATCACTACTCTTGGGTTCTTTCGGTAAAGAACCAAAGAGTATGGATTCCTGCAGTCACAAAAGCTTCAAATGAAGATATGAACTATAAACTATTTTTATTTTAGCAGGTAAGGCCCACTGAGCAATAGCTCTTTTGTCACAAGCGACCTGGCCATCACAAACGATAGCCCAGCAAAGTGGCTTACAATCGTGTGGAAATTTATAGCAGTAGCCAATAACTAAACACATGTTGCTTCTAAATGTGCACGGAAAAACCTGAGGATCCGTAGAAAAATCCACGCGACCACGGGGAGAGAGAGAGACACGCAAACTCTAAATATACAGCAGGCGTCAGAGTCGGGATCGAATCCATGACTTTCTGTATACCAGGCGAGGTAGTTACCATCTTCTAGCCACTGTGATGATAATGAGAGAGAGACACGCAAACTCTAAATATACAGCAGGCGTCGGGGTCAGAATCGAACCCACGACATCCTGTATGTTATTTATATCTTTCCATTTGCATCCACTCGCACAACGGTGCCGTGCAGTCCATAACTCCTGCAAAACTGGAGATGCTTGCGCTTTGGCAAGAAACACTTGCGAAGGCGCCCGCTGAGCGAAAGAAGACAGAACGACGTCCGTGATGAACGTGCACGTTGACGGTGTGCTTCTCTCGTCTCGTCCCGTCAGTGCTGACCCTGGTGGCGGAGCGCGAGCGGCCTCTGGGGCCCGGCACGGCCCGCCTGCTCCTCCTGGGGCCCCCCGGCAGCGGCAAAGACCTCCAGGCCTCGCGTCTCGCCCTCAAGTACGGCCTGCTCAACGGTGGGTGAACCATCCGGACGGCCGCGTCGTTACAACGCGGTTTTCCCGAGCGGTCGACGACGAACTACTTTCTTGAGCTGCGCGGCCGAGCGGAGTGGATACACTAGCACGCAGTGATACAGAAACGCAGTGGCGGTGTACCCTCACTTATTTGTCCCGCTATCTCACCGCGTGTGTACGTAGTGCGTCGTGTCTCGCCAAACTTTACCCTTACATCATTTGTGGGGGATCTTTCCTGTCGCTCGATGCGTTTTTTGCTTCACGCGGCGCTTTTCGGGAAACGAATCTCCTACCAAAGCGTTAAATGAGGGCTTTCCGTACGGGAGCCGTGGTGTGGAACATTTACCCTTACCGAGGGCCGAATATGCCTTTCAAATACCAGTGGAGGATGGCGGTCGTCGTCGTCATCGTTGTTGTGAGTTGCGAGGAGTCGCCGTGCGTGCCGGTGCCGCTGTTGCCGCAGTGTCGTACAGGAAGCTGCTGTTGGAGGCCGCGGCCGGTGAGAGCGCGACGGGCCAGGCGGTTAAGATGCACCTCGAGAGCCGGCGACCAGGTGACCATAACTGCCAGGTCGCTTGACCAAACCGGCTAGCCAATGGGTGATCTGTTTAGCCAGGTAACTGCAGTGACCAGCAGTCAGGTGACCTCACTTGCCAACCAGGTGATGAGTGCTGACCGGCAGGAAGGTGAACCACGCTGGACACCTGCGAACAACTACTGGACATCTGTGAAGAAGAGCGTTATAGCTCATCGAATTCCTCGAGTATAAATACATATTCTGATTGAGACCATCAGACGGATGGCCTCGCTATTAGCCATGTGGCGAGGTGACGGGGTGGCTTGGAGGTCAGAGTGCAGAGCTGTTACCGCTGAGATCCTGGGTTCGAATCCACCTCTACCTAAGCCGGGTTCTCATTTGTAGCGAGTGTGATGGTCTCAGTCTGGTCATCAATCACACGGTTTGCACATTATTTGGCTAAATTCCAGATCCGAGAATAAAAAACACATTAGTGTGATCATCACGTGATGAACGTTGCTCCTGGCAACAGAGGTAGTTTAAAAATTCTGACTTCTCTCCACTCCCCACCTCCCCCCCACTGTGTGAAGTGGGTCACCTTCAGGGTTTCATCAGAAGTTAAACTGTGATACCTGGCTTTAGAGGACTGCTAGTATGAAGGGTTGCAAGTGCTCTGGGAGAGAACTGATTGTGTAATACATCTCATGAAATGGCGCGTGACACACAATTCTGATTTAAGTGGGTGAAAAAGTGTAACTTGTTCGTTTAACACATAGGCTTTCGCGACCAATAGCATCCATAAGCGTTTCTTTGGGTTAGATCGCGTAAATATATAAATATGTCGTAAAACCCACCACTACCCGATAGCCAACTAGTAAGGGTTGTCACGTAAACAGAACGTGGCCCATTCGTCACTAGTACAGCACTAGTGTATAGTGTAGTGTATAGTAGTGTAGTGTATAGTAGTGTAGTGTATAGTAGTGTATAGTGTAGTGTATAGTGTCGTGTATAGTGTCGTCTATATTAGTGTATAGTAGTGTAGTGTATAGTGTAGTGTATAGTAGTGTATAGTGTACTAGTACAGCACACCGGTGTGTTGGAGAGCCAAGCCACAACATTTACAATCTGAGTACGACGTTTCGCCAGTAAATACAACTAGCTTCATCAGGCGACAGACAGATTTGTGGAGAAGTCCACCTGTTTTGTTCCTTATATAGAGGCGTAGGTGTGGTGGCCACACTTCTGCGCTCTTGAATCAACGCACATTATGCATGCGCATTATGCGGGCCCTTTGATCTTGTCCTTCCTGTCCATTGTGTGTATTAAAATAGCCGTACCCACGGTTAATCCCTATTGAATTATGGTGGCCTGTACAGGGATGCATTTAAATATTGTATTATTTGATGATTGGCTTCCACGTGGTACTAAGTCGGTAACTATCCGAACGGTTAAAACATTTTTTTACTTCTTTCAATTTCGATAGATTCTCTAATTAGTACTCTTTGGTTCTTTCGGTAAAGTCACGTAGGCGAGAGATCTGCCGTGCTTCAGCAATTTTTTTTCTCGCTGTGGTTGTCCCACCTGATGACGATCGCTTGTGTTGCGATCGAAACGTCGTGATCCCTTATTTTTCTACCCACGTGACCTTACCGAAAGAACCAAAGAGTGTGGATTCCTGCAGTCACGAAAGCTTCAAATCTCTAATCAGTCTTGGCCAGTGGTAGCTGGTTTCGCACAGAACTTCAACATTATCAAATTCAATCGAGCGTCCTTGTAGAAGAACAAGCGAGCGCCGTCCAGCGACTCCTCCGCGGAAGGGGAAGTTCGGTAACCCCCCCTGCCCCCCCCCCCCCCACGGCTTGGCATCACCTTCCGTGCCCCCGGGGGGTGCCCGCGCCGTGCAGTGCCGGACCTGCTGGTGGCTCGGCTGCTGGCGGAGCGGCTGAGGAGGCGCGATGCGACGGCGCGGGGCTGGGTGCTGCACGGGCCGCCGCGCGTCGCCGAGCAGCTGGCACTGCTGCAGTCCGACGGCATCTTCCCCAACCGGTGCGGCCTCAGCGCCTGCCGCCCGCAGCCCGCAGCCCATAGCCAACAGCCCACCACCCATAACCCACCACCCATAACCCACAACCCATAACCCACAGCCCATAACCCACAGCCCATAACCCACCACCCATAACCCACAACCCACCACCCATAACCCACCACCCATAACCAACAGCCCACCACCCATAACCCACCACCCATAACCCACCACCCATAACCCACAACCCACCACCCATAACCCACCACCCATAACCCACAGCCCACCACCCATAACCCACCACCCATAACCCACAGCCCACCACCCATAACCCACCACCCATAACCCACCACCCATAACCCACAACCCACCACCCATAACCTACAGCCCACCACCCATAACCCACAGCCCACCACCCACAACCCATAACCCACAGCTCACCACCCATATTCCACAGCCCACCACCCATAACCCACAACCCACCACCCACAGCCCATCATCTATATCCCACAGCCAACAGCCCCGCAGCCCACAACCGTTACTCGCCGATTACTCAGTTGACAAAACTCAATCGTGTGAAAACTTGGCAGGACCCTCTTGCAAAAGAGTCTGCAGACTCAGCGAGGCTTTCCACACAAGAGACCCACCGACTCACACCGAGATCCATAGCCTCACAGACACCCAGTGCCTCACTCAGATAAACACCGACTTACATAGTGATCCAGAGACCAAACTATTGCGCCCCGCTACTTCTGTGCAGCCCCTTTAGATGCGCGCTCGCATGCAGACGCTGTGTAAAAGTCACAATCGTGAGTCGTGTACCTTTGTGTTGTTTCTTTGCATCTGCGTCTTTGTGTTTGTGCTCGTGTACTTCCCCTGCCCTACCCCCCAGGGTGTTCATCCTCGACGTGCCGGACGACACGGCCGTGGAGCGCACGTCGCTGCGGAAGACGGACCCCGTGACGGGCGAGCGGTACGCGCGCCGCGCAACGAACAGCCGCGGGCCTCCCGCTCTTGCCCTTTGGAGAGGTTCACCGAGTCTGGGACTCCCTCTCAGGAAGAGGCGCTGGGTTGGGAATGTTTTGACCAGTCGCATGAAATGAGCTGACGTTTCGGGCGTGGGCCGCCGCCGGGGTCTATGGCACGCGAGGTAGTCTGTACGTGTGTGTGTGTTGAACCTCTTTCACACCGTACTTAGGCAACCGTGCTAATCGGAGGTGCAGTTTTGAGTCTATGGGTAGTGGAAGTCTATGGGCAGTGTTGTTGAGTCTATTGGCAGTGTTTAGTCTGTGGGTAGCGTTGAGTCTATGGGTAGTGCTGAGTCTATGGGCAGTGCTGAGTATATGGGCAGTGTTGAGTCTATGGGCAGTGTTGAGTCTATGGGCAGTGTTGAGTCTATGAACAGTGTTGAGTCTATGGGTAGTGTTGAGTCTATGAACAGCGTTGAGTCTATGAATAGTGTAAGTCTATGGGCAGTGTTTAGTGTATGGGCAGTGTTGATTATATGGGCAGGGCTGAGTCTATGGGCAGTGTTGAGTCTATGGGCAGTGTTGATTCTATGGGCAGTGTTGAGTCTATGGGCAGTGTTGATTCTATGGGCAGTGCTGAGTCTATGGGCAGTGCTGAGTCTATGGGCAGTGTTGAGTCTATGGGCAGTGCTGAGTCTATGGGCAGGATGTGTGTTGAACTTCTTTCGCACTGTACGTAGACAGCGGCGCGGCTTTCGTACGTGCGGTAGTCCGCGCACCACGCGAGTAGTTGTGCCGCACCCTTGAATCCGGTAAAAAAAATAATAATGGGCGCAGTGCCCTTTAACCGCGGTGCATCGCCGCCGCCGCCGCCGCCGCGGTCGCGGTGCGTGCGCGCAGGTACCACGAGATATTCCGCCCGGCCCCAGACGGCGCCGTCTGGGCCCGCTGCCGCCAGCACCCGCGCGACTCGGAGGCCGAGGTGCGCGAGCGCCTGCGCGAGTTCCGCTCGCTGGTGGCACCCGCTCGGCTCCTGCATCCGCGCGCCGTCCTCGTCAACGCCGACAGAGACCCCCACACCGTGCTGGAGCACTTGGAGAGCCGCCTCGTCAATGCCCTGCCCGCCATCCCCCGCGAGGGCAACTAGCGGCTCGGGTGGGCGGGGGGGGATCGGGGCGACTGAGTTTGCAGAATTGACTCGTGGCTGTCAAGAGTAGGCGAGTGATGGGGATGACCCGGAGGATCGGGTGATTGGCAGGTTGCTCAACGGGATGACCAGTGACTCGCCAACACGGTGATGGGGAAGTAAAGACGATGGCCATCAGCTGAAGGGGGTGATCAGGGACTCGGGGGGTGAGATGTTAACTCCCTCGCCTGGTATGCAAGAGGTCGTGGGTTCGATCCTGACGCCTGCTGCTGTATATTTGGAGTTTGCGTATCTCTTTCCCTGTGGTCGCGTGGATTTTTCTCCGGGTCCTCCGGTTTTCCCCTCCACATTTAGAATCAACAACAGGCATTTAAAGTATTCGACTGCTGCTATAAATGCCCACTTGATAAGCCACCTGGTTGAGCTGTCATTTATGGCCATGTCGATTTTTCAAAAGAGCTGTACAGCTCAGTGGGCCTTGCCTAGTAAAATAAAAAAAAAATGCATCTCTTTTTTTTGGCCCATGATAAAATAAATATTTGCTCAAAAGCCTATCTCCTCGCATGTGAAGGCTTTCTCCGGGCACTCTCACAAGCACACACTCTTGTCATTGGCCAAACATCCCAAGCAGGACCTTTGATGAAAAGGGTCTTCAGGGCCTTGCCCGGTGAAATAAAGGACACTGTCAGAGCATTATTAAGTCCAAACTACGACTGTCTTTATTAAAACCTTATCTACGGAGTATTTTACCGACAAAACGGTGTTGCACGTCTACTTTCTAGCCTTAGCAAAAATCACGTTTGGTAAGAAAAGGCACAACGTAAGCGAGATGCCTCTTGATAGCGACACAGAGGCATCCTGACAACGCCAGTATCAATACTAACCGTGCGGTAATCATACACGCATAATGCAAAATAACAATATCAAGAACACTGAACTCATTTCTATACCACTGGTGACGTTTATATATGCGTCAGTAACGATATGCATTTTTTTTGTTTTCATTTACTATTCTAAAACATTTGCTTACTCAGGATTACGCAGATTTGCGTTTTTATCCCTGCCCCCCCCCCCTTCCTCTTCAGACCCCACACCATTCTCTCTAGGCCTCGCCCGTTCCTCTACAGGCCCCAAGCCTTGTTGTGTAGGCCTCGCCCGTTCCTCTAGAGGCCCCAAGCCTTGTTGTGTAGGCCTCGCCGTTCCTCTAGAGGCCCCAAGCCTTGTTGTGTAGGCCTCGCCCCTTCCTCTTTAGGCCCCAAGCCTTTCTGTATAGAAAATGGGGGGGGTGAGTAGTGGAGTACGTGCACAGCAGAGGTACGAGGGCGGGTGGGGAAAGTGTGGGTAGCGGTGGGGCGGCTTCATGAAGACGACCAGAGTCCCTCTTGGAGTAGTACAATGAAAGATGCATTTGGGATGCATCGAATGAGAAGTATTTTTATCACACGAAAAATGTCCTATTTTATTTCACAGTTTAACCACTCACCGCCCACCCCAGCTAAAGACCCCATTTGTCTCTTACATGTGATTTGAATTTTTGTTAATTTTACAAAACTCTTGCTGACTCTCAAATACAATGCAAATGCGAATTGCATCGTATTTGTCCAGCAAAATTAGAGGAATGCGGAGAAATACTAGAGAAAGATATACGATTAGCGTCGTTTCACAATTTTAGATCACGCTTTTTTTTCCGTTGTAGGTCAAAGGCCGTGGGTCATACACAGCTCATCAATACCACAGTCCCATGTTTACTTGCGGTCAGAATGAGGCGCTGACTCGACCCTTTACGATGGAAATCACTCTGATATCTGTGACATTGAAGTCTGTGACAAAGGTAGATAAGCGGAGGAGGTTCTACGTCCAATTGGAAACCCGGTGTGTGTCCACGCGCCTGTCATGTGGTGTGACTGAACCTTGGAACGACATGAACCTTCCCATTCTCACAGGTTGCTCCTCGGCACTGAGTGTACACATACATACATACACGCCCACACAAATAGAGAGGTTAGAACATAGATGCTAATAATAATCACTTTAAGTTTAACACGTAGGCTTTTGCCACCAACATTTTCCATAATGGAGGTTTTTTTTGGGGGTTAGAACGCGTAAATATAAATGTGTGTTTTAAACCCATCGCCACCCGACAAAGCCGATCAGTAAGGTTTGTCACGTAATCGTGTGAACTTATAACGGCAGTGCCGCCGCAAGTCTTCAATTAAAGAGGTGCTAAGAACCACAGACGACTCGGAAAGGCAGCAGCCAGGCAGTAAGCCGGTGCCAACTTCCACCTTGCCCCCTAAGATTTGCTGTCCTCTGTATATGAAGATGTTACTATGTGGGTGAAGGAAACCGGAGCACCCGGAAAAAAAACCTACTGAGCAGTTGGAGGCAGTTGCCCTGCAACAACAACAACGGAGGGCGGAGGAGCGACGCTCACAACAACGAGCGGAGCGCCGGGTGGCTAAAGCACAGCAAGTTGGCACAGTAGGGGGCACAGGTGGTGCATCAGCCAGTCGTCTCAGTCAGTCGACCTGTGGCATCTGGGTCTGCCCCGTGACCTGCCAGCGGGCGTTCGACACCTTCACGTGGCCTCAAGGTGCACATGGCCTGGCACAAGCGTCGTGGGCACGTCACCGCCACTTAGTGGCGAATGGCGGTTGTTGTTGTGTGTAAGTGTGTGTACCTGTGTGTGTGTGTGTGGGGAGCGGTGGTGTAGCGGTTAGCACGCTGCGCTATGAACCTGGCGACTCGGGTTCGATTCCCGCTCATGGCCAACACCAGTGACGAACCGGTCCTGGGCCTCCCCTAGGTCGACTCAGCCTCAAATAAGTACCTGGTGCGATGTGTAAACATCGTCACTAGGGAGACAAAGGCGGCCGGGCGTGGTGTTGGCCACCCAACCCCCTCGTGTGCCGTGCCGTCCTTCATAGGTGCTCGCTAACAGCACTTGCCCCAACACTCTGTTAAGGCTACATGGGGGGGTATTTGTGTGTGTGTGTATCTGTGTGTGTGTGTGTACCTGTGTGTGTGTCTGCGTCTGTGCACTCACACTCTGGGGAGCCTTGAGGGGTCCGGTCTCGGTCCGACTCCTGCCCCAGATACCGTGCGTCTCTCTGTAAGGGGACGGCATCGTCAATCGACCTCACAAAGACAAATGTCCCCCGCGTAGCCTACGCAGACTTGGGACAAATTAACAGCGTTTGAGCATCTTAACTCCCATCATCTTGACACCGGATAAACAGGATCCCATAGGTACAATGAATGTTTGTCCTTTGGAAAAATCTTCACGTAATAAGTAATATTTTTTAAAACTTTTTTTTAAACACGCTTTAATGAAATGTACCGTACTAGTAATGGAAGAACTCCACGACTCCAGGAAGTGGGCCCGAAGTTTGCCACAACGTAAGGGGGACTGTGGTCAATTACAGCCAACGTCAGTTGACAGTGGACAATTAGGCCCAAGCCGAAATATAACATAAAAAAGAATGTTTTCAAATATATATTTTTTTATGATAGAATATAGTATTGTCATCAGTATGACATAAGTATACCAAGTTTGCAGTCGATAATTGAGTTATAATATTTGAGGATACAACAGACAGAGTGAGTTAATAAAAAGCGTGTAATAATAATAATAAAAATAATATCCTCCAACAGATTATTTTCACGTGCACATTCCCCCTTTAGATGCCAGTGTCCTCGTAGCACAAGTAGCTACACAAGTAGTAGCTACATGTGTAGTAGCTGCACAAGTAGTAGCTGCTACACATGTAGTAGCTACACAAGTAGTAGCAACACAAGTAGTAGCTGCTACACATGTAGTAGCTGCTACACAAGTAGTAGCTACACAAGTAGTAGCTGCACAAGTAGTAGCTGCTACACATGTAGAAGCTACACATGTAGTAGCTATACATGTAGTAGCTGCACAAGTAGTAGCTGCTACACATGTAGTAGCTGCTACAGATGTAGTAGCTGCTACACATATAGCAGCTGCTACACAAGTAGTAGCTACACAAGTAGCAGCTACACATGCTACGGGCCCCGCACTTTCAAGGGCTCCGCGTTAAATGCTTTCAAGATATCAATTCCGGTTCAGTGATTCTGGACTTGCTCTATTACTATAGTACTATAATGCCTTCAACTTTTATGAACGACCGGGTGTTTAAGTTTAGCGATTTGTCGTATTATCTGGTTGTATCGCAAATGAATGAAAAAATACAATTACTTGACTATGCAAGTAAAAAAAAAATGTGTTTTAATATTTACGTGTTTTTTTTATTTACGGCCCCTTTATAACATCGTGCTACAGGCACCGCACTTAGCTTCATCTGACTCTGATAGTGTCCCGACGACACCTCACGATCCACACTGCTACCATCACCACCACCCTCACCTGGCAAACCGGGCCACACGCTCACCTGGCTCTGGCCACATCCGCGCCCCCGTCGGCCGGGGTAAGTTCCTCACCTGGCGATGAGTCCACGCTCCCACTGCCTGCGGCTCCAGGCAGCTGTGCTCCGTCGCCTCCTCCACCGCCTCGCTCGAGTCAAAGCCCCTGCGTCGGCACACACCCCAGGGGGCTTTAGGGGAGGCAACGGGTGCATTTGGGTCCGACTGAAATATCTTTTTGAAAAAAGTTCGAATGAATAAAAACAACCACAAATTTTGCCGTGCCTACAGCAGCGGCCACCGCGGGCTGCGAGAACGAGCCTCTGCTTCTGCCGCGTCCGGCCTGCCTGCCACGCATTCCCGCCCGGCGGTGTTCTCGTCGGCCACAAGCCGACGCTTTGTTATTTTGGCGTGGAACATGGGCACACGAAATGTTTCGGAGGCACCTGCGGTGGGCGCGGAAGAGCGACAATATACGGTCTTTCGCCCCGCGAACCAAACTCATAATTTCCCCCCGGTACCCCAGTATCACAGCCTCCCCCCCCCCCCCCCAGCATCTTTAGCCCAATGAGCCAATCTCGGAAGAACGAGAGCTGCGGATGCTGGTGGCCTTAATCTTAGTTGTCTTGTGGTTGTTGTTGTTGTTTGACTTGCATCCCACTAGGATTTTTGCACACAGCGTTGGTGTACGGCGCTTTTTCGTGGAAGATTTTTGCTGGTTTTTTTCCCCTGGATTTTCTGTTTGCACAGTCAACACAAAGTCACTGTAAGATGTTTTTCTTGTTCATGTTTTTTGCTTGTAGCGGTTGCACCCGATTCAAGGGCCGAATGGCTCACTGGGCTATAACCAAATAAATTAAACTGAAAGCTGCGTTAAATGGTGGCGCACCTGTTGTCGGTCCCAGCTGACGGGGCGAGGGCCCCCCTTGATGTGGGTCGGGCTGGTTGTGCGCGGCCGGGGGAGTGGGGGGGCAGCAGGGTGAGTGCGCAGAGCAGAGATCGAAGAGGTCAAAGGTCAACCAGGAATGTTCATGCCGGAGGAATTCCGACGGGCTGTAAAGCTCTTTTTTTTTCCACCACAAATGTCCAGGAGGGGGACCGCGGGGGTCTGAAAGTGGCGACAACAAAAGGTTACAAAAACACGGAGTGCAAAGGAGAGGTAAGGTAAGCAAAATCGTAAAACAACGAACGTGTTTATTTTTACCAGTTAAAGCCCACTGGAGCTATTAGTTTCCTTTTCAGAGGCGACCTGGCCGCAAATGATGGCTCAACGAAGTGGCTTATCACGTGGAAATGTACAGCAACCAAATACTTTAAACGCGTGGTGATCTTGATTCTAAATGTGGAGGGAAAAACCGGAGGACCTGGAGGAAAAAATCCAGACGACCACGGGGGGTGGAGAGAGAGCGAGAGAGAGAGAGAGAGACACCGCAAACTCCAAACGTGCAACAGGCATCTCGGTCGGGATCGAACCCACGACCTCCTGCGCACAAGGCGAGGTAGTTAACATCTCCTAGCCACCGCGGCGCCCCCAGAAGGCACGAGGCCGTTACCGATGGAGTCGTGAGCCCCCCCCCCCGCCCCACGTACTCGCGGCGCACTTGCGCTCCCTCCACCGCTGCCGCACGGAGTAGAATCCCATGACGAGGAAGATGAGCAGCAGCGACACGGAGGAGCCCACCACCACCGGCACGTCATGCGGCTCCAGCAGCCGCCACCCCCCCACGGCCGCAGCCGGGGACGGCCGCCGCTCCGCTTCGCCGCCCGTCCGGAGCCCCGCCGCGTCGGCCGCGGCGGCACCGCGGCCGGTCACCGGAGACGTCGTCCGTGGCGGCGACGACGGCGACGACGACGACGATGATGATGACGACGGCGACGACGACGATGACGACGGTTGTGGTGGTGGCGGCGGCGGCGGCGGCGGTGGCGGAGTCGACGAGGGCACCGGTGGCGGACGACGGTCGTCAGGCTCCTCCGGTGGGGACAAGCGCCGCTGGTGGGGACGGAGGAAAGGGAGACCCCGGACGGACACTTCGACGATGCTCCGACGGATTGGTTTGATTCCGTCGACGCGGGGGGTGGGGGTGGGGTGGGCGAGAAATGTTCGTATTGAAAGGGCTGCACCGCGCCCGTGTGGACCTGAACATCCAACTTCCCTGTACAAGAACACGGGGCATAAACCGCGTGGGTTGACACGGTGGTTGGGCGGTAGTACCTTGCGAGCGATTGCGCAACACGCACGGGCGATTGCGCAACACGCGCGAGGGATTGCGCAACACGCGCGAGGGATTGCGCAACGTGCGCTCTCGCTTCACTCGGCATCGCCGGGGCACACGGAGAGAGCCGTGGGGGCCTCGTCACGAGCGGCGCCTTTTACCGCCGTACGCGCAGATCCCCCACCCCCCCCCCCCCCCCGGGGCTTGCGTGCCGCACCGACACACCAACCACGTGCCCCACTGACACACCAATCACGTGCCCCACCGACACACCAACCACGTGCCCCACCGACACTCCAACCCCGTGCCCCACCGACACACCAATCACGTGCCCCACCGACACACCAACCACGTGCCCCACCAACACAGCAACCACGTGCCCCACCGACACTCCAACCACGTGCCCCACCGGCACACCAACCACGTGCCCCACCTACACACCAACCACGTGCCCCACCGACACACCAATCACGTGCCCCACCGACACACCAACCACGTGCCCCACCGACACAGCAACCACGTGCCCCACCGACACTCCAACCACGTGCCCCACCGACACACCAACCACGTGACCCACCGACACTCCAACCACGTGCCCCACCGACACACCAATCACGTGCCCCACCGACAGACCAACCACGTGCCCCACCGACACAGCAACCACGTGCCCCACCGACACTCCAACCACGTGCCCCACAGACACAGCAACCACGTGCCCCACCGACACTCCAACCACGTGCCCCACCGACACTCCAACCACGTGCCCCACCGACACACCAACCACGTGCCCCACCGACACTCCAACCCCGTGCCCCACCGACACACCAATCACGTGCCCCACCGACACACCAACCACGTGCCCCACCGACACACCAACCAGGTGCCCCACCGACACACCAACCACGTGCCCCACCGACACTCCAACCACGTGCCCCACCGACACACCAACCACGTGCCCCACCGACACACCAACCACGTGCCCCACCGACACTCCAACCACGTGCCCCACCGACACACCAACCACGTGCCCCACCGACACACCAACCAGGTGCCCCACCGATACTCCAACCACGTGCCCCACCGACACTCCAACCACGTGCCCCACCGGCACACCCACCACGTGCCCCACCGACACTCCAACCACGTGCCCCACCGACACACCAACCACGTGCCCCACCGACACAGCAACCACGTGCCCCACCGACACTCCAACCACGTGCCCCACCGGCACACCAACCACGTGCCCCACCTACACACCAACCACGTGCCCCACCGACACACCAATCACGTGCCCCACCGACACACCAACCACGTGCCCCACCGACACAGCAACCACGTGCCCCACCGACACTCCAACCACGTGCCCCACCGACACACCAACCACGTGACCCACCGACACTCCAACCACGTGCCCCACCGACACACCAATCACGTGCCCCACCGACACACCAACCACGTGCCCCACCGACACAGCAACCACGTGCCCCACCGACACTCCAACCACGTGCCCCACAGACACAGCAACCACGTGCCCCACCGACACTCCAACCACGTGCCCCACCGACACTCCAACCACGTGCCCCACCGACACACCAACCACGTGCCCCACCGACACTCCAACCACGTGCCCCACCGACACTCTAACCACGTGCCCCACAGACACACCAACCACGTGCCCCACAGACACACCAACCCCCTCCCAACCACATGCCCGGTGTGGTTACCGCTTCACGTGGCGCATTCAGACGCGGTTAATGCGGCCGTCTGGAACGCTCTAACCTTCCAATATTATGAAGGCCACTGGTGAGCTGTGTAACTTTTAAATCGTCCCCGTTTAATCTTGATTTGAAGCTTTCTTGACTGCAGGAATCTATACTCTTTGGTTCTTTCAGTCAAGTCACGTAGGTAGAAAAAATAATAGATCACGACGTTTCGATCGCCACACAAGCAATCGTCTTCAGGTGGGAGAGAGAAACAGGCTGCTGAAACAAGTCCTTATACAGTGAGGGAAAAAAAGTTTTTGATCCCCTGCTGATTTTGCACGTTTGCCCACTGACAAAGAAATGATCAGTCTATAATTTTAATGTTAGGTTTATTTCAACAGTGAGAGACAGAATAAGAACAACAAAATCCGGAAAATGCATGTCAAAAATGTTATAAATCGATTTGCATTTTAATGAGGGAAATAAGTATTTGACCCCTCTGCAAAACATGACTTAGTACTTGGTGGCAAAACCCTTGTTGGCAATCACAGAGGTCAGACGTGTCTTGTAGTTGGCCACCAGGTTTGCACACATCTCAGGAGGGATTTTGTCCCACTCCTCTTTGCAGATCTTCTCCAAGTCATTAAGGTTTCGAGGCTGACGTTTGGCAACTCGAACCTTCAGCTCCCTCCACAGATTTTCTATGGGATTAAGGTCTGGAGACTGGCTAGGCCACTCCAGGACCTTAATGTGCTTCTTCTTGAGCCACTCCTTTGTTGCCTTGGCCGTGTGTTTTGGGTCATAGTCATGCTGGAACACCCATCCACGGCCCATTTTCAATGTCCTGGCTGAGGGAAGGAGGTTCTCACCCAAGATTTGATGGTACATGGCCCCGTCCATCGTCCCTTTGATGCGGTGAAGTTGTCCTGTCCCCTTAGCAGAAAAACACCCCCAAAGCATGATGTTTCCACCTCCATGTTTGACGGTCGGGATGGTGTTCTTGGGGTCATAGGCAGCATTCCTCCTCCTCCAAAACGGCGAGTTGAGTTTATGCCAAAGAGCTCCATTTTGATCTCATCTAACCACAACACTATCACCCAGTTGTCCTCTGAATCATTCAGATGTTCATTGGGAAACTTCAGACGGGCATGTATATGTGCTTTCTTGAGCAGGGGGACCTTGCGGGCGCTGCAGGATTTCAGTCCTTCACGGCGTAGTGTGTTACCAATTGTTTTCTTGGTGACTATGGTCCCAGCTGCCTTGAGATAATTGACAAGATCCTCCCGTGTAGTTCTGGGCTGATTTCTCACCGTTCTCATGATCATTGCAACTCCACGAGGTGAGGTCTTGCATGGAGCCCCAGGCCAAGGGAGATTGACAGTTCTTTTGTGTTTCTTCCATTTGCGAATAATCGCACCAACTGTTGTCACCTTCTCACCAAGCTGCTTGGCAATGGTCTTGTAGCCCATTCCAGCCTTGTGTAGGTCTAGAATCTTGTACCTGACATCCTTGGAGAGCTCTTTGGTCTTGGCCATGGCGGAGAGTTTGGAATCTGATTGATTGTTTGCTTCTGTGGACAGGTGTCTTTTATACAGGTAACAAGCTGAGATTAGGAGCACTCGCTTTAAGAGTGTGCTCCTAATCTCAGCTCGGTACCTGTATAAAAGACACCTGGAAGCCAGAAATCTTTCTGATTGAGAGGGGGTCAAATACTTATTTCCCTCATTAAAATGCAAATCAATTTATAACATTTTTGACATGCGTTTTTCTGGATTTTGTTGTTGTTATTCTGTCTCTCACTGTTCAAATAAACCTACCATTAAAATTATAGACTGATCATATCTTTGTCAGTGGGCAAACGTACAAAATCAGCAGGGGATCAAATACTTTTTTCCCTCACTGTATATGTAGTGGATTAACACGCGCATACAGGGGGGAATGGTAAAGACGCGCGAGTTATGGACAGTTGGGTTATGTCGGGCCGGCCAGGTGTGGCGGCGGGAAACTGTGCGGTAATGACGGGCCAATTAAGCTGGAGAGCGATGTACGGCTGTGATTGGCTGGGGTTGTTGACAAGGGCGGAGTGGCGCCGGAATGTCTGGTGATAGAGGGGGCAAGTAACAGGTGCGGGTGGACGCCCAGCGGTGGCACGCGGCCTAATTAATTGGTTGGTAATGAGAACAAGGATATATTCGGGAGACGGAAAGAACGAGTTAAGTTGTCGCTGGGACTGGAACGAAGCAGGTCGGAGAGAACCGGAGCAAAGACATAGGAGACAGAACAGGCTAGCAGTAGAGCAGAGACAAGCAGAGAGAAGCAGAGACAACCAGAGACAGCCGAGATAAGCAGAGAGAGACAGAGAGGGGCAGAGACAGCGGGAGAGAGACCGAGGTACAGCATGAGACAAAGACAGAGAGGGACAGAGACAGCGGGAGAGAGACAGAGATACAGCATGAGACAGAGACGGAGAGAGACAGGGACAGCGGGAGAGAGACTGAGATAAAGCGTGGGACAGAGACAGAGCGAGACAGAAACAGCGGGAGAGAGACGGAGAGACAGCGAGCGATGGAGAGAGACGGAGACAGCGAGCGACGGAGAGAGACAGAGACAGCGAGCGACAGAGAGAGACAGTGAGGGATAGGGGAGGAAGCGGAGTGAGCGAGACGGGTGGAGCGCGGCAAGCGAGCTGCGACTAAGCGGAATGACGAAGTCACAGACGTAATGTGACGAATTGTAATAAAAGTGGTGTCGGAGAAAACAAGAAAATTGTTCGTGTCAAGTCGACAACTACATATATATAGAGCCAACAGGGGGGGAGGGGGGGGGTGCCGCATCGGGCAAGAGGATGGAGGCTAGAGAAAGGTGAGCGACTCGATAAGGTGAGCCTTCTTGTCTCACAGTCTGTTAAAAGATCTAAGAGTTGTGTGAAAACCCTCCCCGTAGAGACGGGTTTTCACACAACTGTTAGATCTTTTTGTTGCGTGTCGCTCCTCTGCCCTACATTGTTGCTGGAGGGCGACTGCCTCCAACTGCCCAGTAGCACCGTCCTTCATGAGTCTCCTCCACAGAGGCCGATCTTGACACTGCTGGTACCAGTCATTGGCAAATCCACTCAGCTCCACATCCTCCTGTACCACATCACTCCATATCTTTTATAGCCCGTGCCGAGTACATTTAGCTCCCTCGATCCGGCCGAACAAAAGCTGTTTAGGCATGCGGTGGCTGGGCATGCGGGCTACATGACCCAGCCAACACAGCCTTGCCTGATGGAGGAGCTTACCAATGGGACTTTATCCAGATCTTTCGAAGATTTGTGAGCTCCTCACACAATCCAGCCTGGTTAACCCCAGGATGGGTCGTACGCAGGCCAGCCAGAATGTTTCTAACCGGCGAAGATGTTCCATTAGGGGGGTCCACGTTTCGCAAGCGTAGAGAAGGGAGGGAATAACTGTGGCCGAGAAGACGAAGCTTCGTGCGGAGCGACAGACCAGGTAGCTTCCACACAGCGTTACGCAACCGATGAAAAGATAATGCCGCTCGACTGATTCAGTGAGACCTCTGCTGTTAAACCGGAGCCGGTCATGGGCACACTGCCCAGGTATGGAAAACTCTCCACTCTCTCCACAATTGCCCCATCACCAATTGCGAGTTGTGGGGGTGGAGTGTCTGATGGTACAAAATACCCAGGCAGGTGCTTCATTTTGGTGGGGCTGATGGTAAGGCCCTACCTCTTAGTTAAAAACTCCAGGTTTAGCAGCAGCGCCTCCAACCCCTCCTCCGAGTGAGCAGCAATTACAAGATCATCGGCATATGTAACATTGTTGACCAATAGGGAGCCATCCCTTGACAGCACCCGGGCATCGATCAGCCTCCCATTGTATCTATACAGCCATTTAAGGCTTCTGGAACTATGTGGTTAAAAAATATGTTAAATAATGTGGGAGCCAGAGGACATCCCTGTCGCACCCTAAGGTGAACAGGGAATGGCTCCGACTCCCAGCTAAGTTGTTTTACCCGTGCCCGCTCACCATCATGAAGGTCCTTAATGATCGTGAGCAGAGGGTCAGGGACTCCGAAAGCACGAAAAACAACCCAGAGCCCAGGCCTACTGATTGTATCATAGGCCTTGACCAGGTCAATATAGCACCACCATCACCATCGTCATCACCGTCTCAGTAGGGGAAAAAAAGCTTCATAGCTCATCGGATTCCTCCAGGATAAATAGATAATCTGATTCTGACCGTCACCATGGTCTGCGCCGTGGCGGTGCCCTCACCGGCGGAGCTGGCACGGTTGGTCCCGTCACTGCGGCGGCGCCGCGAGTCGCCAGCAGCGCCGACGGCGAAGTGACCGCAGAAGGCGTGGGGCGCGGTCGCAGCTCGCGATGGTCAGGGTCAGCCGGAGTGGACGGCCCAGGTGGGGCGGGAGGTGATGTTGGGCGGGGTGGTGGTGGTGCAGCCGTTGACGCTTGCGATGTTAGCGCCGGTGCCGCCGCTGCTGGTAGCGGTGGCGGTGTCGGCGCTGAGAGGCTGGTGATTGGTGGCGATGTTGCTGAAGGCCGGGAGAGGCTGGAGGTTGGCGATGTTGGTCGTCCGGTTGACGTTGCCGCTGGAGTTAGTCGCGACGGTGGCGGTGGCGGCGGCGGCGGCGGCGCCGAGAGAGCGAGTAGCAGTGATGAGAGTTTGGTCGCCACCTCTGCAGGTGGTGACAATCCGGCCGTTGGCTGTTCCGGTTGTGCTTGTGGTGGTGGTGGTGACGAGCTGACCATTGACACGACTGGCGGTGGCGGTGGAGCTATCGGTGATTTAATCACCGGAGCTGCCGCTGTTGTCGTCGTCGATGGCGGAGGCGGCGGCGGCGACAACAACCGCAGCATCCCCACGGTCGCTGTCGTCCTCATCTTCGTCGTCGCCGGCGGTGCACGCGGTGACGTTGTCCCGGCGGCGGTGATGAGCCTCGACGGCGCCGTCGTCGTCGCCGTCGTCGCCTCACCGCCACCGTCGTCGTCCTCCCAGCTCCTCCGCGGCCGCTCGCGCACCCGGAGGCTGGCGCGGTGGCTGGCGCTGCCGGCGGGTCCAAGCACCGTGCACACGTAGACGCCCGCGTGGCGCGCCGACACCGCGCGCAGCTCCAGCGACGCGCCGCCTGCCGCGGACAAAGATCACCCAACCACGCCGCGGTGCCTTCAGCGGGCTGTTTGGGGCACGTTGGGACGCTTGAGGACAGGAGGTCGTAAACGTCATCGTCAGCCGCCATCGCCACCATCATCATCACCGCCACCATCTCCATCGTTACCACCACCGCCATCATTATCATCATCATCACCGCCACCGCATTCATCACCGCCATAAACACTACCATCATCACCGTCATCACCACCACCATCACCACCACCACCACCATCATCATCATCACCACCACCGCCATCATCACCATCATCATCATCACCGCCACCATCTCCATTGTCACCAACACCGCCATTATCATCATCATCACCACCACAGCCATCATCACCACCATCACCACCATGACTATCACCACCACCATCATCATCATCACCACCACCACCATGACCATCACCACCACCATCATCATCACCACCATCACCACCACCAGGCCGCATGTCGTCAACCCTGGCGGGTGGCTGCACTTCCATCGTCGAACTCCCGGCCCGACAAATCTCAGAGATAGGGGGGCACCCGGGGGGGGGGGAGAGGGGGGCCTCACCCCTGTCGCGGCGGACCCTGGCGTCGCCCGGCGGCACCGGCGCGCCGTCGCGACTCCACGAGTAGCGGAGCGGAGCGTCGCCCGCGGCCACGCACGGCAGCGTCGCCGCAGATCCGGCGTCCACGGCCACCGACTCCAGGAACACCACCACGACGGGGGGCACTGGGGGGTGGAGGGGGGGTCGGGTAGAGAACCGGGGGGGGGGGAACAAGGCATGGGGGAATTGGGGACCCGGCAGATAGGGATTGGAAACTCCAAGAGGGGGGTGGGGGGTCGCGAATGGCGAGATGTTGACTACCTCGTCCGGTGTGCGGGAGGTCGTGGGTTTGATCCCGACCCTTGGCGCCTGCTGCTGTATATTTGGAGTTTGTGTGGCTCTCTCTGACTGTGATGAGATGTTAACTACCTCGCCTGGTATGCAGGAGGTCGTGGGTTCGATCCCGACCCTGACACCTGCTGCTGCTGTATATTTGGAGTCTGCCTGTCTCTCTCTCTCTCATCATCATCACGGTGGCTAGGAGATGTTAACTACCTCGCCTGGTGTACAGGAGATCGTGGGTTCGATCCCGACCCTGACGCCTGCTGCTGCTGTATATTTGGAGTCTGCCTGTCTCTCTCTCTCTCCGTGGCCGCGTGGATTTTTCTCCGGGTCCCTCCGGTTTTTCCCTCCACATTTAGAATCAACATCACCACGCGTGCGTTCAGAGTATTTGGCGACTGCTCTAAATTTCGACGTGGTGATGGCAAGCAACTTGGTTGAGCAATCATTTGTGGCCAGGCCGCTTCTGAAAAAGAGCTGCGTTGCAGCTTTAGCTTAGTTTAAATAGAATGGGAAAGAAGAGGCTGAACTTTTGGTATGGTCGTGGAGAGATTGGTGGTCGTGTTGGTGGTGAGGAGCGGTGGTGCCGCGGTTAGCGTGCTACGCTACGAACCCGGCGACCCGAGTTCGATTCCCATTCACTGTCTACTGCTGACACTGGTGACGATGGTCTGAGAAGGTCCTGGGCTTCTCCTAGGTCGACTCAGCCTCAAAAGAGTACCCAGTGCATGGTAGTGCTGGTGGTGGTGACGGTAGTGGTGGTGGTGGTAGTGCTGGTGGTAGTGCTGGTGGTGGTAATGCTGGTTGTGGTAGTAGTGCTGGTGGTGGTGGTAGTGCTGGTGGTGGTGGTAGTGCTGGAGTAGGCGATGGTAGTGCTGGTGGTGGTAGTGCTGGTGGTGGTAGTGCTGGAGTAGGTGGTAGTAGTGCTGGTGGTGGTGGTAGTGCTGGAGTAGGTGGTGGTTGTGCTGGTGGTGGTAGTGCCGGAGTAAGCGGTGTTAGTGCTGGTTGCGGAGGTGGCGGTGATAGCTGCTGCTGCTGCTGCTGGCGGCGGCGGCGGCGGTGGTGGCGGTGGTGGCGCAGGCTCGCCGCCTCCGCACCGCCGACGTGCAGGTGGAACACCAGGGTGGCCTCTCCGGCCGCGTTGCTGGCGTGGCACGCGTAGCGGCCACGGTCAGACGCCTCCACGTTGCTCACGTGCAGGGACGCGTTCCTCGCCCTGGTAACACACACAAAGGTCCCCCGGGTAGGCCCTCGACGGACCGTGGGGGCAAGTGCTGTTAGCGAGGAAGCAGCACCTGGGTGTTGGTCTACAACCACGCCCGGCCGCCTCTGTCTCCCCAGTGCTGATGTTTACATGACGCACCGGGTTGCTATTTTTGTTTGTTAAGGCTAAGGCGACCTAGGGGACGTCGGACCGATCACCGGGTTCGTAGCACGGCAACGCTTACGACTACACCACGGCTCCCCACGCACACGCGCACACACACAACAACAACAACCGCCATTTGCCACTAAGTGGCGGTGACGTCACCACGACGCTTGTGCCAGGCCATGTGCACCCTGAGGCCACGTGAAGTGTCGAACGCCCGCTGGCAGGAGGTCACGGGGCAGACCCAAGTGCCACGGGTCGACTGACTGAGATGACTGGCTGATGCACCACCTGTGCCCCCTACTGTGCCAACCTGCTGTGCTTTAGCCACCTGGCGCTCTGCTCGTTGTTGTGAGCGTCGCTCCTCTGCCCTCCGTTGTTGTTGTTGGAGGGCGACTGCCTCCAACTGCCCAGTAGCGTCCTTCACGAGCCTCCTCCACAGAGGCTGATCTTGACACCGCTGGTACCAGTCATCGGCAAGTCCACTCAGCTCCACGTCCTCCTGTACCACATCACTCTCTCTCTTCTCTAGCCCGTGCCGCGCCCGTTTAGCCCCCTCGATCTGGCCGGACAAAAGCTGTTTCGGCATGCGGTGGCTGGGCATGCGGGCTACATGTCCCAGCCAACGCAGCCTTGCCTGCCGGAGGAGCTCACCGATGGGACCTTGCCCAGATCTTTCAAGGATGTGTGAGCTCCTCACACAATCCAGCCTGGTTAAACCCAGGATGGATCGTAGGCAGGCTAGCCTAAATGTTTTTAACCGGCAAAGATGTTCTATTAAGGGGGTCCACGTTTCGCAAGCGTAGAGAAGGGAGGGAATGCCCGTGGCCAAGAAAACCTGAAGCTTAGTGCGGAGCGACAGACCAGGTAGCTTCCATACAGCGTTACGCAACCGATGAAAAGATATTGCCGCTCGACTGATTCGGAGTGAGACCTCTGCTGTTAAAGTGGAGCCGGTCATAAGCACACTGCCCAGGTATGGGAAACTCTCCACTCTCTCCACAACTGCCCCATCACCGATTGGGAGTTGTGGGGGTGGAGTGTCCGATGGTACAAAATACCCAGGCAGGTGCTTAGTTTTGGTGGGGCTGATGGTAAGGCCCCACTTCTTAGTGGCACGCTCCAGTCTCAGCAGCAGCGTCTCCAACTCCTCCTCTGAGTGAGCAGCAATTACCAGATCATCGGCATACATAACGTAACGGTTGAGCAATAGGGAGCCATCCCTTGACCACACCCGGGCATCGATCAGCCTCCCATTATATCTGTACCAAATGGAGATTCCCCCGGTACAGCTATTGAAGGCTTCACGAACTACGTGGTCAAAATAGATTGAAATAATGTGGGAGCTAGAGGACATCCCTGTCGCACTCCAAGGTGTACAGGGAATGGCTCTGACTCGCGGCCACGTAGTTTTACCCGGGCCCGCTCACCATCATGAAGGTCCTTCATGATCGTGAGCAGGGGGTCACACGCACGCACGCACACGCATACACACGGCGAAGGCAGGTCGTACACCGGGTTGACAACAGTCTCTAGATCATCACCATCATGATGGTGGTGGTGGTGATGATAATGGTGATGATGATGACTACTGGACATCTGTGAAAAAGAGCTTCATAGCTCATCGGATTCCTCCAGTACGAATAAATATTCGGATTTTGATCACCACCACCACCATCATCACCACCACCACCACCATCATCACCACCACCACCATCATCACCACCATCATCACCACCACCACCATCATCATCACCACCATCATCACCACCATCACCACCACCACCATCATCACCGCGCTCTCCCTCCCCACCCTCAATCGCACGACCCCCCCCCCGCTCACCCGAGGGCCCAGCGGGGCCCCCTCCCCACGGGGCTCCCCTCGTGGCTCCAGCGCAGGGCCGGGGGCGGGCGGCCCAGCGCCGGGCAGCCGAGCGTCACCCCGCGGCCTACGGCCACTCGCACGGTGCCGTGGGGGGTCGCGGACGGGAACGACGGAGGAACTGCGGGGGTGGGAGGGGCGAGAGGAGGGGTGGGAGGGGGAGCGAGGGAGGGAGGCGAGGGGGGAGGGGGGAGGCGAGGGGAGGGGGGAAGCGAGGGGAGGGGGGAGGCGAGGGGAGGGGTGGGAGGGGAGGGAAGGGGAGGGGAGGCGAGGGGAGGGGGGAGGCGAGGGGAGGGAGGGGAGGGGAGTAGCAAAATATAATAATAGTTTTTTAACCCTTTTCTGGTAACAAAACTGACACCTTTTTAGGAGGAATCATGTTACTGCATTAACCACAAAACCTGCGGTCAGAATGCAAACAAAAAACAATTCTGATAATGGATGCATTTTTTTTTGCATTCTGACCGCAGGTATTGTGGTTAATGCAGTAACATGATTCCTCCTAAAAAGGTGTCAGTTTTATTGCCAGAAACGGGTAAAAAAACCTATTATTATTCTATCTACATGTGCTTTACCGAAAGACTCAAAGAGTATGGATTCCTGCAGTCACGAAAGCTTTAAGTCAAGATTTACAATCTTAAGTACGACGTTTCGCCAGTAATTACAACCAGCTTCATCAGGCGACAACCAGATTTGTAGATAAATCAACCCGTTTCGTTTATGGATTCCTCCAGTTATGAACACAGTATTCTGATGATTCTGAAATCCGAGCGATTTCCCTGCACAAGCGAGCAACAGGCCTGAGCCTGTGGTGGAAATCACACGTTAGTATGACAGTGCCGAGTTTGTCCATTAGTTCATCCAACCTATTCGCGCGGCTGGCTACGTACGGTGCAAAAGAAGTTCAACAAGCATAGGACAACCGTTTTTGGATCAAAACTATTAAACTAAACTATTCAACTATTTACTTTAGCAGGTAAGGCCCAGTGAGCTACGTAGCTCTTTTTCAGAAGGGACCACCTGGCTATCACAAATGACAGCTCAGCGTAGTGGCTTATCACGCGGACATTTATAGTGGCCAAGTACTCCACACGTGAGGCGTTGATTCTAAATACCAACAAAAAACACAGCATCTGACACCCGTACCCGGAAGGGTGGAGCCATGTGATGGGCTGCTGATGCCGTGAGAGATCAATGTGATTGGCTGCTGATGCTTCCACAGGTAGAGTGGGAGATCAATATGATTGGTTGCTGATGCTTCCGCAGGTAGAGTGGGAGATCAATGTGATTGGCTGCTGATGCTGTGAGAGATCAATGTGATTGGCTGCTGGTGCCGTGAGAGATCAATGTGATTGGCTGCTGATGCCTCCACAGGCAGATAGAGAGATCAATGTGATTGGCTACTGATGCCTCCACAGGCAGATAGAGAGATCAATGTGATTGGCTGCTGGTGCCTCCACAGGCAGATAGAGAGTTCAATGTGATTGGCTTCTGATGCCTCCGCAGGCAGATAGAGAGATCAATGTGATTGGCTGCTGATGCCTCCACAGGCAGATAGAGAGATCAATGTGATTGGCTGCTGATGCTTCCACAGGTAGAGTGGGAGATCAATATGATTGGTTGCTGATGCTTCCGCAGGTAGAGTGGGAGGAGATCAATGTGATTGGCTGCTGATGCTGTGAGAGATCAATGTGATTGGCTGCTGGTGCCGTGAGAGATCAATGTGATTGGCTGCTGATGCCTCCACAGGCAGATAGAGAGATCAATGTGATTGGCTACTGATGCCTCCACAGGCAGATAGAGAGATCAATGTGATTGGCTGCTGGTGCCTCCACAGGCAGATAGAGAGTTCAATGTGATTGGCTTCTGATGCCTCCGCAGGCAGATAGAGAGATCAATGTGATTGGCTGCTGATGCCTCCACAGGCAGATAGAGAGATCAATGTGATTGGCTGCTGGTGACTCCACAGGGAGATAGAGAGTTCAATGTGATTGGCTTCTGATGCCTCCACAGGCAGATAGAGAGATCAATGTGATTGGCTGCTGATGCCTCCACAGGCAGATAGAGAGATCAATGTGATTGGCTGCTGGTGCCTCCACAGGCAGATAGAGAGTTCAATGTGATTGGCTTCTGATGCCTCCACAGGCAGATAGAGAGATCAATGTGATTGGCTGCTGATGCCTCCACAGGCAGATAGAGAGATCAATGTGATTGGCTGCTGGTGACTCCACAGGGAGATAGAGAGATCAATGTGATTGTCTGCTGATGCCTCCACAGGCAGATGGAGAGATCAATGTGATTGGCTGCTGATGCCTCCACAGGCAGATAGAGAGATCAATGTGATTGGCTGCTGGTGCCTCCACAGGCAGATAGAGAGATCAATGTGATTGGCTGCTGGTGCCGTGAGAGATCAATGTGATTGGCTGCTGATGCCTCCACAGGCAGATAGAGAGATCAATGTGATTGGCTGCTGATGCCGTGAGAGATCAATGTGATTGGCTGCTGATTCCTCCACAAGCAGATAGAGAGATCAATGTGATTGGCTGCTGATGCCTCCACAGGCAGATAGAGAGATCAATGTGATTGGCTACTGATGCCTCCACAGGCAGATAGAGAGATCAATGTGATTGGCTGCTGGTGCCTCCACAGGCAGATAGAGAGTTCAATGTGATTGGCTTCTGATGCCTCCGCAGGCAGATAGAGAGATCAATGTGATTGGCTGCTGATGCCTCCACAGGCAGATAGAGAGATCAATGTGATTGGCTGCTGGTGACTCCACAGGGAGATAGAGAGTTCAATGTGATTGGCTTCTGATGCCTCCACAGGCAGATAGAGAGATCAATGTGATTGGCTGCTGATGCCTCCACAGGCAGATAGAGAGATCAATGTGATTGGCTGCTGGTGCCTCCACAGGCAGATAGAGAGTTCAATGTGATTGGCTTCTGATGCCTCCACAGGCAGATAGAGAGATCAATGTGATTGGCTGCTGATGCCTCCACAGGCAGATAGAGAGATCAATGTGATTGGCTGCTGGTGACTCCACAGGGAGATAGAGAGATCAATGTGATTGTCTGCTGATGCCTCCACAGGCAGATGGAGAGATCAATGTGATTGGCTGCTGATGCCTCCACAGGCAGATAGAGAGATCAATGTGATTGGCTGCTGGTGCCTCCACAGGCAGATAGAGAGATCAATGTGATTGGCTGCTGGTGCCGTGAGAGATCAATGTGATTGGCTGCTGATGCCTCCACAGGCAGATAGAGAGATCAATGTGATTGGCTGCTGATGCCGTGAGAGATCAATGTGATTGGCTGCTGATTCCTCCACAAGCAGATAGAGAGATCAATGTGATTGGCTGCTGATGCCTCCACAGGCAGATAGAGAGATCAATGTGATTGGCTGCTGATGCCGTGAGAGATCAATGTGATTGGCTGCTGATGCCGTGAGAGATCAATGTGATTGGCTGCTGATGCCTCCACAGCAGATAGAGAGATCAATGTGATTGGCTGCTGATGCCTCCACAGGCAGATAGAGAGATCAATGTGGTTGGCTGCTGATGCCGCAAGAGATCAAAGTGATTGGCTGCTGATGCCGCGAGAGATCAACGTGATTGGCTGCTGATGCGCGAGAGCTCAACGTGATTGGCTGCTGATGCCGCGAGAGATCAACGTGATTGGCTGCTGATGCCGCGAGAGATCAACGTGATTGGCTGCTGATGCCGCGAGAGATCAACGTGATTGGCTGCTGATGCCGCGAGAGATCAACGTGATTGTCTGCTGATGCCGCGAGAGATCAACGTGATTGGCTGCTGATGCCGCGAGAGCTCAACGTGATTGGCTGCTGATGCCGTGACAGATCAACGTGATTGGCTGCTGATGCCGTGACAGATCAACGTGATTGGCTGCTGATGCCGCGACAGATCAACGCGATTGGCTGCTGATGCCGTGACAGATCAACGTGATTGGCTGCTGATGCCGCGAGAGCTCAACGTGATTGGCTGCTGATGCCGTGACAGATCAACGTGATTGGCTGCTGATGCGTGACAGATCAACGTGATTGGCTGCTGATGCCGCGACAGATCAACGCGATTGGCTGCTGATGCCGTGACAGATCAACGTGATTGGCTGCCGATGCCGCGAGAGCTCAACGTGATTGGCATTGGCGAGCGGTGGCCGGGCGCTCACCGAGCACGCGGACGCGGGCGCGGCGCGAGGCCACCGAGCGCTGCGCCAGCGCGTTCACCGCACGGCAGAAGTAGACGCCCGCGTCCGATTCGGTGACGCTGCGGGGGGGCAAGGGGCAGACGGCAGGGGGAGGGCGAGGTGGGGGGGGGGGGCGGAGGAGGGAGGGGGGGGGGGCGGAGGAGGAGGGGGGGGGGGGCGCAGCGTCTTAAACGAAGTCACACGCAACTTTGTTTTTCCACTGCAAAGGTTCCGTGCCGGTGGCCGTGCCGGGCGCCGTAGTTCGGCGCGGTTTCGGCAGCTGCCGACGGTCGTTCATTCCACCTTGCTCCCCCCTCACCTGGGGATCAGGAGCTCCCCCCCGCCGCCGCCGCCGCCGCCCCCGTCCGTGTCGAGGGGAGCGCCGTCACGGAACCAGTCGACGAGCGCCGGGGGGCGGCTCTGGGGGGGGCGGCACCGCAGCGCCAGCGGAGAGCCGAGCGGCACCGTCGCGTCCTGCGGGTGCCGCTCGAAGCGCCAGCCCATGGACGGCCCGGCGGTCGAGACGGGGGTGGCGGTGGCGGTGGAGACGGCGGCGGGGGCGGCGGCGGTGGACACGGTGGCAGCACCACCATCGACATCTCCAACACCAAAGACAAAAAAAAAACACCACCACAATCTCTAACCAGCACCACCACCATCTCCACCACCACCACAATCTCTAACCAGCACCATCACCATCTCCACCACCATCTCCACCACCACCATCCCCAGCTCCACCATCCCCAGCTCCACCATCCCCAGCTCCACCACCACCATCTCCACCACCACCACCACCATCTCCACCACCACCATCTCCACCACCACCACTACCACCATCTCCACCACCACCACCATCTCCACCACCACCATCCCCAGCTCCACTACCATCTCCATCACCACCATCTCCATCACCACCATCTCCACCACCACCATCTCCACTACCATCTCCACCACCTCCACCACCACCATCTCCATCCAGCACCATCTCCATCACCATCTCCACCACCACCATCTCCACCACCACCATCACCACCACCACCACCATCTCTACCACCACCACCATCTCCACCAGCACCACCATCTCCACCAGCACCACCACTGTCGCGGGGTGAGTCACGGGGTGAGTCGCGGGGTGAGTCGCGGGGTGAGTCGCGGGGTGAGTGGTGGGGTGAGTGGTGGGGTGAGTGGTGGGGTGAGTGGTGGGGTGAGTGGTGGGGTGAGTGGTGGGGTGAGTCGCGGGGTGAGTCGCGGGGTGAGTGGCGGGGTGAGTGGCGGTGTGAGTCACGGGGTGAGTCGCGGGGTGAGTCGCGGGGTGAGTGGCGGGGTGAGTCGCGGGGTGAGTCACGTCACCCGTCACGGTGAGGGTGGCCGCCTGGCTGCGCGCCACCGCCGCCGCCTCCCCCCCCTCCTCCCCCCCCTCCTGGCGCCCCACACAGGCGGTGGAGCGCCCCGCGTGGCGCGCTGCGCTCAGCGCCCCCAGCGCGAGGGTGACGCTCAGCTGCGTCGGCGCCGCGCGGCCTCCAAACGAACCCTGCCACTCGTGGCCCGGTGGGAGGGTGGGGAGCGCGAGAAGGGGGTGGGGGAAGAGGGGGGGGGAGAGGGTGGGGGGGAGAGGGTGGGGGGGAAGAGGGTGGTGAGGGGAAGAGGGGGAGAAGGGGGGGGGTAAGGGGAGGGGTAACAGGGAAGAGGGGGATAGAGGGGGGCTCACATGGATGCGCGCGATTGTCTCCGTACGAAAGAAGTTCAAGATGAACAAAAACCCCCACGACAGGCGGCCCCCCCCCCCCCCCCCACCCCTACCTGGGTCTGCTGCCCTCCCGTCACGAGGGCCCCGTCGCGCTCCCAGGAGATGTTGGCCCGGAGGCCGCGGTGGACGCGTCCCGAGAGGCAGGGCAGCCGCACCGTGTCCACGTGGCCGGGGCCCACGAGCGCGGGGCCCTCAGCGTGGCCGGGGCCCACGAGGGTGGGGACCTCAGCGTGGCCGGGGCCCACGAGCGCGGGGCCCTCAGCGTGGCCGGGGCCCACGAGGGTGGGGCCCTCAGCGTGGCCGGGGCCCACGAGCGCGGGGCCCTCAGAGTGGCCGGGGCCCACGAGGGTGGGGCCCTCAGCGTGGCCGGGGCCCACGAGCGCGGGGCCCTCAGAGTGGCCGGGGCCCACGAGGGTGGGGCCCTCAACGTGGCCGGGGCCCACGAGGGCAGGGCCCTCAGCGTGGCCGGGCACAGTCGCTGCACAGGCACACACGGGGACATCATCATCCTCGTTATCATCGTCAGCAACAGCAGCGGCAGCGACATATCACTCCCACCCCCCCCCCCCCCCCACTATCTCGCCTTTAACAGGCTACGAAGGCCGGCACGGCGCACGAGGGGGTACACACTCCCGCCAGTACCACGCCCGGCCGCCTTTGTCTCGCCCCAGTGCTGATGTTTTGCACAATGCACCAGGTTGCTAATTTGAGGCTGAGTCGACCTAGGGGAGGCCCAGGACTGGTTCAAATAATCGTCACCGGTTTTGGCCGTGAGCGGGAATCGAACTCGGGTCGCCGGGGTTCGCGGCGCGCTAACCGCTGCACCACCGCTCCCTCCCCCCACACACGCGTCCACAGACTGACCCATGCGTGTATATATACACACACACACGCGCACACTCATTCCCATTCACATGGCTATACATGAACTCACGCTTGCACACTCACCCACATTCGCTTGTGCACGCGCGCGCACACACACACACGGAACACACACACGGGACACACACACGGGACACACACACACACGGGACACACGGGACACACACACACGCGGAACACACACACACACACGGGACACACACACACGGGACACACACACGTGACACACACACACACGTGACACACACACACGGGACACACACACGTGACACACACACGCGTGCAGACTCACGCCCACTCTCCCCCGAGTGTGGCGATGTTGACCACGCACCGCAAGCAGGGTTACTCGTTTGAGGCCGAGTCGACCTAGGGGAAGCCCGTGACTGGTTCAAGACAATCGTCACCGGCGTTGGCCGTGTGCCGGCCTCGAACTCCCCGACCGGGCGGGTTCGTGGCGCGGCGCGCTAACCGTGGCACCACCGCTCCCACCCACCTCCACCCTTACCCCACCGCCCACGCACCCCCCCCCACCGCCCACGCACCCCCCCCCCCACCGCCCACGCACCCCCCCCCCACCGCCCACGCACCCCCCCCACCGCCCACGCACCCCCCCACCGCCCACGCACCCCCCCCTTACCCCCCCCACCGCCCACGCACCCACCCCCTTACCCCACCCACCGCCCACGCCCCCCCCTTACCCCACCCCCCCCTTACCCCCCCCCACCGCCCACGCACCCCCCCCTTACCACCACCCACCGCCCACCCCAACAAAGGCTCCCCTCGGCTGAATGGACGAACGCGCAGGAGGGCGGCGGGGGGGGGGTCCCGGGCGGCGGGGGGGGTCCCGGCCTCATTCAGCTGCCGTCCACTCCACTGGCGCGCGCGGGCAACACAAAGCGCGGCTATGAATAGCGGCGTGTGCTGTGTGTGTGTGCTGTGTGTGTGCTGTGTGTGTGTGCTGTGTGTGTGTGTGCTGTGTGTGTGCTGTGTGTGTGTGTGCTGTGTGTGTGTGTGCTGTGTGTGCGTGTGTGCTGTGTGTGTGTGCTGCGTGTGTGTGTGTGCTGTGTGTGCGTGTGTGCTGCGTGTGCGTGTGTGTGTGCTGCGTGTGTGTGCTGCGTGTGTGTGTGTGTGCTGTGTGTGTGCTGTGTGTGTGTGTGCTGCGTGTGTGTGTGTGTGCTGCGTGTGTGTGTGTGCTGCGTGTGTGTGCTGCGTGTGTGTGTGTGTGCTGCGTGTGTGTGTGTGCTGCGTGTGTGTGCTGTGTGTGTGTGTGCTGCGTGTGTGTGTGCTGCGTGTGTGTGTGCTGTGTGCTGTGTGTGTGCTGCGTGTGTGTGTGTGTGTGCTGTGTGTGTGTGTGCTGTGTGTGTGTGTGCTGCGTGTGTGTGTGTGCGTGTGTGTGTGTGTGTGCGTGTGTGTGTGTGTGTGCTGCGTGTGTGTGTGTGGTGTGTGTGCTGCGTGTGTGTGTGTGCTGTGTGTGTGTGTGTGCTGCGTGTGTGTGTGTGCCGTGTGTGCGTGTGTGCTGCGTGTGTGTGTGTGTGCTGCGTGTGTGTGTTGCGTGTGTGTGTGTGCTGCGTGTGTGTGTGCTGCGTGTGTGTGTGTGCTGCGTGTGTGTGTGCTGCGTGTGTGTGCGTGTGTGTGTGTGTGCTGCGTGTGTGTGTGTGTGCTGCGTGTGTGTGTGTGCTGCGTGTGTGTGCTGCGTGTGTGTGTGCTGCGTGTGTGTGTGTGTGCTGCGTGTGTGTGCGTGTGTGTGTGTGTGCTGCGTGTGTGTGTGTGTGCTGCGTGTGTGTGTGTGCTGCGTGTGTGTGCTGCGTGTGTGTGTGCTGCGTGTGTGTGTGTGCTGTGTGTGTGTGTGTGCTGCGTGTGTGTGTGCTGCGTGTGTGTGTGTGCTGCGTGTGTGTGTGCTGCGTGTGTGTGTGCTGCGTGTGTGTGTACCACTTGCTGCGTGTGTGTGTGTGCTGCGTGTGTGTGTGTGCTGCGTGTGTGTGTGTGTGTGCTGCGTGTGTGTGTGCTGCGTGTGTGTGTACCACTTGCTGCGTGTGTGTGTGTGCTGTGTGTGTGTACCACCTGCTGCGTGTGCTGCGTGTGTGTGTGTGTGTACCACCTTCTGGGTGTGTGTGTGTGTGCTGCGTGTGTGTGTGTACCACTTGCTGCGTGTGTGTGTGCTGCGTGTGTGTGTGCTGCGTGTGTGTGTGCGTGTGTGTGAGTGTACCACCTGCTGCGTGTGCTGCGTGTGTGTGTGCACGTGTACCTGCTGCGCGCGTGTGTGTGTGTGTGTGTACCACCTGCTGCGTGTGCTGCGTGTGTGTGTGCTGCGTGTGTGTGTGCTGCGTGTGTGTGTGTACCACCTGCTGCGCGCGTGTGTGTGTGTGCACGAGCTGCGTGTATCACCTGCCGTGCTGCGTGTATGTGTGTGCACACTGCGTGTACCTGCCGCGTGTGTGTGTGTGCACCCGCGCGCTGCGTGTACCTGCCATGTGTGTGTGTGCACGCGCGCGGGGCACGCGTGTGCGTTGCCCGGGAATCGAAACCGGCCCCATGCGATGTCTACCACTGAACCCACGGATGCTAACGTGCATGCGCACGTGCCTGCGCGTGCATTCGTGTGTGCGCGCGTGCGCGTGTACGTGTGCGCGCGTGTGTGTGCGCGTTTGAGGCCGAGTCGATCTGAGGAGCGGTGGTGTAGCGGTTAGCGCGCTACGCTGTCAACCCGGCGACCCGAGTTCGATTCCCGCTCACGGCCAACACCAGTGGCGATTATCTGAACCGTTCTTGGGCCTCCCCTAGGTCGACCCAGCCTCAAGTGAGTACCTGGTGCGATGTGTAAAAATCGCCACTGGGGAGACAAAGGCGGCCGGGCGTGGTGCTGGCCACCCACCCCCTCGTGCGCCGTGCCGGCCTTCATAGGCGCTCGCTAACAGCACTTGCCCCAACAGTCTGTGAAGGCTATACGGGGGGGGGGCTTCTTTGTGTACCTGTGGTGCAAGGCCGTAATTATAATATAAATTGAGGGGGGGACACATCCCCCCCAATATTCAAATATGCTCAAAATGTCCCCCCCCCCTATATATGGCGATAAAATAGATTTCTGTTTCTATGATTGTGGTTATGGTTTGTTTCTTTATAAATCCCTAATCTCTGCCATTACATACAATGGAACAATAAAACGTAAATAATTGAAAACAAAGCAATGTAATACAATAACACTATTAGACATTGTTGTAAAAAAAAATAAGAAAAAGTCCTTCCTATGTGTTAGTGAATTTTTTTAAAGATCTTAGGCAGGAAATTCGTTTTCAAATTCAGATTTTTTTCTGGGGGGGGGGGGGGGACTCCCAGACCCCCTGGAAGATTTGGTCCCCCCCAATGTTGACTCCATGGCTACGGCCTTGACTGTGGGGAATTTCCCTCCTCAGTGTGAGGCCGGGAAAGGTGCCTGGCAAGGATTATTATTAAACATCGTGCTATTGCCAGGCAGCGCGCTGAGGAGAGACTGGGGGAGTCCTGCACAGACGCCATATTCTCTGTCCGCCTGCTACAGCACAGGTGTAGGGAATTTTCAACAGGACCTAACATCCCCGCTTTATTGACCTGTGAGTGGGCTGGCTGAGGTGTCATCTGTTGAGAAAGTGAAGAAGGCCATCCAGAGTCTGAGACCAGGAAAAGCACCGGGCAGAGATAATCTCCTAAGCGAAATGCTGAGGGAGGGTGGCTTTGCGCGCAGACTGCCCTATATGACATCATAACAACAGTCTGGACCACTGGACGGGTTCCGCAGGACTGGAAGGATGCCCTGGAGGTCCCATTCTTTAAGAAGGGGGACCGCACAGATTGTAACAACTACACAGGCATCTCCCTCCTCAGTGTGCTGGGAAAGGTCCTGGCAAGGATTATTCAACATCGCCTTGCCAGGCATGCTGAGGAGAGGCTTGCAGAGCCCCAATGCGGTTTCAGGAAAGGGCGGTCCTGCACAAATGCTATATTTTTCGTCCGTCTGCTACAGCAGAGGTGTAGGGAATTCCAACAAGACCTACATCTCTGCTTTATTGACCTGGTCAATGCCTATGATACCATCAGTAGGCCTGGGCTCTGAGTTGTTCTTCGTGCTTTCGGAGTCCCTGACTCTCTGCTCACAATCATTAAGGACGTTCGTGATGGTGGGCAGGCCCGGGTAAAACTACGTGGCCGGGAGTCAGAGCCATTCCCTGTACACCTTGGGGTGCGACAGGGATGTCCTCTGGCTCCCACATTATTTAACATCATTTTTGACCACGTAGTTCCAGACGCTTTCCATGGCTGCACCGGTCGAATTTCTATCTGGTACAGCAGATACGATGGGAGGCTGATCGATGCCTAGGTGTGGTCAAGGGATGGCTCACTATTGGTCAGCCATGTTACGTCTAGTGATAACCTGGTGATTGCTGCTCACTCTGAGGAGGAGTTGGAGGCTCTGCTGCAAAACTTGGAGCTTGTAGCTAAGAGATGGGGCCTCAGCATCAGTCCCACAAAAACAAAGCACCTCCCTAGGCATTCGATGTCACAAAACACTCCACCCCACTCCGTTCCCCGTGAGTGGTGGGGCAGTTGTGGCGATAAGTGGAGAGGTTTCCATGCTGGGCAGTGTGCTTATGACCGGCTCCGGGTTTGGCAACAGAGGTCTCACTCCGAATCAGTCGAGCGGTATTGCCTCTTCATCGGTTGCGCGACGCTTTGTGGAAGCTGCCTGGCATTTCGCTCAAAATTAATATCCGGGTCATCTCAGCCACACTTACGCCATCCCTTCTCTACGCTTGCAAAACGTGGGTCCCTTTGAAGGAACATCTGACCTGCCTATGATCCATCCTGGGCTTAACCAGACTGGATTGTGCGAGGAGCTCACAAATCCTTGCAAGATCTGGACACAGTCACATCAGTGAGCACCTCCGGCAGCCAAGGCTGCGTTGACGTCACATTTCTAAACCCCCCCCCCCACCCTCGTCACACATCGTCACAAATGTCTGACCCCACCCCCCCCCAGGTGCGTGACGTCATTTATGGACGGCCCCTAAGCGACTCGATGTCATTGTCACGCGAGAAAGACCTTCGTCCTAGGGCATAGGGGGGGGGGGGGGCACCGAGGCGTTGTAGAGTCTCAAGGCTCATTGCTCGTGAGGGTCGTGACACGGACACGGCTTCTCACCGCCGACGCTCGCTCCGACCACAATCCAGAGTGCGGCCATCGCCCGCACGGCACCCATCGCGCTCGCGGCCGGCTCCTGGCTTCTTCCGTCGCGGCACGGCCACCGCCGTCGTCGTCACCGTCGCCCGGGGGGCATTCGTCACAAAGGAGAACACACGAGGAAGAGGAGGAGGAGGAGGAGGTGGAGGAGGAGGAAGAGGAGGAAGTGGAGGAGGAGGACGAGGAGGAGGACGAGGACCAGGAGGAGGACGAGGAGGAGGAAGAGGAGGACGAGAAGGAGGAGGAAGAGGAGCAAGGGGAGGAGGAGGAGGAAGGGGAGGAGGAGGAAGAGAAGGAGGAGGAAGCCACAGTTAGAGAAAAACACGGATTTGTCAACATCACCAAGCATCAACCATGAGCAGCAGCAACATTGTAAAGACATCACATGAACACTCCTCGTGCACTCGCTCACCCACCCACCCACCCACTCACTCACCCACCCACCCACTTACTCACTCATCCACCCACTCACCCACCCACTTACTCACCCACCCACCCACTCACTCACCCACCCACCCACTCACTCACCCACCCACCCACCCACTCACCCACCCACCCACTTACCCACCCACTCACCCACCCACTCACTCACTCACTCACCCACCCACCCACCCACCCACCCACTCACCCACCCACTTATTTACCCACCCACTCACCCACTCACCCACCCACCCACTCACTCACCCACCCACCCACTCACTCACCCACCCACCCACCCACTCACCCACCCACCCACTCACTCACTCACCCACCCACCCATCCACCCACTCACTCACTCACCCACCCACTCACCCACTCACTCACCCACCCACCCACTCATCCACTCACCCACCCACCCACCCACTCACTCACTCACCCACCCACCCACCCACTCACCCACCCACCCACCCACTTACCCACCCACTCACCCACCCACTCACTCACTCACCCACCCACCCACCCACTCACCCACCCACTTATTTACTCACCCACCCACCCACTCACCCACTCACCCACCCACCCACTCACTCACCCACCCACTCACTCACTCACCCACCCACCCACCCACTCACCCACCCACTCACTCACTCACCCACCCACCCACCCATCCACCCACTCACTCACTCACCCACCCACTCACGCACTCACTCACCCACCCACCCACTCATCCACTCATCCACCCACCCACTCACTCACCCACCCACCCACCCACTCACTCACTCACCCACCCACTCACTCACTCACCCACCCAGCCACCTACCCACTCACCCACTCATCCACCCACCCACTCACCCACCCACTCACTCACCCACCCACCCACCCACTCACTCAGTCACCCACCCACCCACTCAATCACCCACCCACTTACTCACTCACCCACCCACCCACCCACCCACTCACCCACCCACCCACTTATTCACTCACCCACCCACCCACTCACCCACTCACTCACCCACCCACTCACCCACTCACTCACCCACCCACCCACTCATCCACTCACCCACCCACCCACCCACTCACTCACTCACCCACCCACCCACCCACTCACCCACCCACCCACCCACTCACCCACCCACTCACCCACCCACTCACTCACTCACCCACCCACCCACCCACTCACCCACCCACTTATTTACTCACCCACCCACCCACTCACCCACTCACCCACCCACCCACTCACTCACCCACCCACTCACTCACCCACCCACCCACCCACTCACCCACCCACTCACTCACTCACCCACCCACCCATCCACCCACTCACTCACTCACCCACCCACTCACGCACTCACTCACCCACCCACCCACTCATCCACTCACCCACCCACCCACTCACTCACCCACCCACCCACTCACTCACTCACCCACCCACTCACTCACTCACCCACCCAGCCACCTACCCACTCACCCACTCATCCACCCACCCACTCACCCACCCACTCACTCACCCACCCACCCACCCACTCACTCAGTCACCCACCCACCCACTCACTCACCCACCCACTTACTCACTCACCCACCCACCCACCCACTCACCCACCCACCCACTTATTCACTCACCCACCCACCCACTCACCCACTCACCCACCCACCCACTCACTCACCCACCCACCCACCCACTCACTCACTCACTCACGCACTCACTCACTCACTCACCCACTCACCCACCCACCCACTCACCCACCCACCCACCCACTCACTCACTCACCCACCCACCCACCTACCCATTCACCCACTCACCCACCCACCCACTCACCCACCCACCCACTCATCCACGCACTTACTCACTCACCCACCCACTCACTCACTCACCCACCCACCCACTTACTCACGCACTCACTCACCCACCCACCCACTCACTCACCCACTCACTCACCCACCCACTCACTCATTCATTCACCCACCCACCCACCCACTCACCCACCCACCCACTCACTTACTCACTCACCCACCCACCCACTCACCCACCCACCCACTCACTCACTCACCCACCCACTCACTCACCCACCCACCCACCCACTCACTCACCCACCCACTCACTCACCCACCCACTTACTCACTCACCCACTCACCCACCCACCCACTTATTCACTCACCCACCCACCCACTCACCCACTCACCCACCCACCCCACTCACTCACCCACCCACCCACCCACTCACTCACTCACTCACCCCCCCCACTCACCCACTCACTCACCCACCCACCCACCCACTCACCCACCCACCCACCTACCCATTCACCCACTCACCCACCCACCCACGCACCCACCCACCCACTCATCCACGCACTTACTCACTCACCCACCCACCCACTCACTCACCCACCCACTTACTCACGCACTCACTCACCGACCCACCCACTCACTCACCCACTCACTCACCCACCCACTCACTCATTCATTCACCCACCCACCCACTCACCCACCCACCCACTTACTTACTCACTCACCCACCCACCCACTCACTCACCCACCCACCCACCCACTCACTCACCCACCCACCCACCCACTCACCCACCCACCCACCCACTTACCCACCCACTCACCCACCCACTCACTCACTCACCCACCCACCCACTCACCCACCCACTTATTTACTCACCCACCCACCCACTCACCCACTCACCCACCCACCCACTCACCCACCCACTCACTCACTCACCCACCCACCCACCCACTCACCCACCCACTCACTCACTCACTCACCCACCCACCCACCCATCCACCCACTCACTCACTCACCCACCCACTCACCCACTCACTCACCCACCCACCTACTCATCCACTCACCCACCCACTCACTCATCTACTCACCCACCCACTCACCCACTAACTCACTCACCCACCCACCCACTCACTCACTCACCCACCCAGCCACCTACCCACTCACCCACTCACCCACCCACCCACTCACCCACCCACTCACTCACCCACCCACCCACCCACTCACTCACTCACTCACCCACCCACCCACCCACTCACCCACCCACTTACTCACTCACCCACCCACCCACCCTCTCACCCACCCACCCACTTATTCACTCACCCACCCACCCACTCACCCACTCACCCACCCACCCACTCACTCACCCACCCACCCACTCACTCACTCACCCACCCACTCACCCACTCACTCACCCACCCACCCACTCATCCACTCACCCACCCACCCACTCACGCACTCACTCACTCACTCACCCACTCACCCACCGACCCACTCACCCACCCACCCACTCACTCACTCACTCACCCACCCACCCACCTACCCATTCACCCACTCACCCACCCACTCACCCACCCACCCACTCATCCACGCACTTACTCACTCACCCACCCACCCACTCACTCACTCACCCACCCACCCACCCACTTACTCACGCACTCACTCACCCACCCACCCACTCACCCACTCACTCACCCACCCACTCACTCACTCATTCATTCACCCACCCACCCACCCACTCACCCACCCACCCACTTACTTACTCACTCACCCACCCACCCACCCACTCACCCACCCACCCACCCACTCACCCACTCACTCACTCACCCACCCACTCACTCACTCACCCATCCACTCACTCACCCACCCACCTACTCACCCACCCAGCCACTTAACCACCCACCCACTCACCCACCCACCCACTCACCCACCCACCCACTCACCCACCCACTCACTCACCCACTCACTCACTCACCCATCCACTCACTCACCCACCCACCTACTCACCCACCCAGCCACCCACTCAGCCACTCACCCACCCACCCACTCACCCACCCACCCTGCATTGGTTTACAGTTGCCAGGTCCCGCTCATTGCACACAAAGCGCTCGCCCCACCAAATGGACCGCAACAACCTCGCTGCTGATGTCGTCAAGGAGCTACGAACCATCAACCACGCGACACTCCGCTCATCCTCGCAGCGGCTTTTGACGAACCATCGAACGCAAGCGGTGGTCAGCGCCGCTTCTGCGGCCGTCTGGAAGGCTCTTCCCCATCCGATGTTAGGAAGCCACCGGAAGCTACGCACTTTTAAAATCATCGTCGTCTAGATTGACAAAACTCATTTGTTTAGAACCGGCTTTTGTGTTTAGTTCGATACCCCCACCCCTCCCCGTACACTTCCGATCAGCGCGCGGTTGCCTACGTACGGCGCTAAAGAAGTTTCAACGTTCGTACGCTCGCTCACCCACTTGCTCACCCACCCACATACTCACCCACTCACCCACTCACTCACCCACCCACCCAATCACTCACTCACCCACCCACTCACTCACTCACCCACTCACTCACTCACCCACCCACCCACCCACTCACCCACTCACTCACTCACCCACCCACTCACCCACTCACTCACCCACTCACCCACCCACTCACTCATCCACCCACCCACACACTCACTCACTCACCCACCCACCCACTCACCCACCCACCCACCCACTCACTCACCCACTCACTCACCCTGGCAGACAGCAGCACTGTGTCTCTTCGCCGTGGCTCCTCACCGTGCACACGCGCAGGCAGTCCCACGCTCGGGACACGCGTCTCGCTGCTGCCGGTGCTACCGCTGCTGCTGCTGCTGCTGCAGCCTCCGCAAGCGATCCGAACTAACGGGACGGCTCCGCTCATCGCAGCGGAGACAAGGAGGTGGGGGGGGGGGAGTGGCCCATACAGCGAGGAGGGTTTTGGAGGAGGTGAGGGGTATGGAGGAGGAGGAGCGGGTGTTTGCGTAATGGAGAGCGGTGGCGCAGCGGTTAGCAGCGCTGGGGCGGTGAACCTGGAGCGAGTCCGGCGTTTGATTTTTGCTCGCGGGCAAGGCGCGTTGGGCGATTACTTCAGCCGGTCTCGCGTCTCCCCTAGATCGACTCAGCCTTAAATGTGTGTAGGAGGAAGAGAAGGAGGAGGAAGAGGAGGAGGAAGAGGAGGATGATAAGGAAGGGGAGGAGGCGAAAGGGGAAGAAGAGGAAGATAAGGAGGAGGAAGAGGAGGAAGAGAAGGAGGAGGAAGATGAGGAGGAGGAAGAGGAGGATGATAAGGAAAGGGAGGAGGAGGAAGGGGAAGAAGAGGATGATAAGTTAGGGGAGGAGGAGGAAGGGGAAGGAGAGGAGGGGGAGGAGGAGGAGGAAGAGGAGGAAGAGGAGGAGGAAGAGGAGGACGAGGAGACGAAGACCGCCTGGTGTAGTGTTGCCCCCCTCCCCCCTCGTGCGCCATGCCGGTCTCTCTCCTTCGGTTGCTCGCTAAGAGCACTTGCCCCGACAGCCTGTTGGAGGTTACACGGGGGATCTTTGTCTTTGGAGTGAGTTGAAGTTAACTCAAAACGTGGGGTTTGCGTAGCCATCGCAATGTTAGATATTCCGGTTTTTTGGGTAGGGGTGGGTTAGGCTACGTGGTACGCTTCACGCCAACATTCTGGAGCAACGTTAATGACCGAGCTCTGAGATCCTCTATATATATTAACACGTGCTCAGATAATTTCGGAGTGGTTTATGCACGAGGTGGGAGGAAACCGGCGCGCCCGGAGAAAACCCCCCACGGCTTGCGCGAGGGGGCAACGCTCGATCCCCTGCAGAGGGAACGGGCGGAGTCCAAGTTGTTGCTCTGCCGCCCTCTCCTGGCAGAGCCAGGGCGCAGCTCCTCCTCAACGGAGCCCACCCACGGGTGGAAGGGATTTCCGCGACGTTCGTCCGGTGATCCATCAACCCTCGCTGCTGCCTCCGGTGTTGTGCCCCAGCCACCTTGCGTGCGTAGTTACCATCGCCACCGCCGGCTAAATGTGTAGTGAGTTCTTATGGAGCCGACGAAAAGGCAATACGGCTCGACTGATTCGGAGTGAGACCTCCGTTGCCAAACCGGAGCCGGTCATAAGCACACTGCCCAGCATGGAAACCTCTCCACTTACCGCCACAACTGCCCCACCACTCACAGGGGAGTGGAGTGGGTGGAGTGTTTTGTGACATCGGATGCCCAGGGAGGCAACACGGTTTATTGTTAACTAATTACAGAACTCCCCAAAACGCCCTCTAACTCGGGAGGTACAGCCTCCGGGCTAGCGTGCTCCCCACACTCAGTAACCTAGCTCCCAGCCCTCCGGCTATCTGTGCCCTAGGGGAGGCTAACTGGCCCGACCCAGCCAAGGCACGGGTCCCGACCACTGGTCCGTGCTCGGCCCGGCCCTTACAAGGACATCGGGCTCGAGGTCCCAGGGTCCTAGTCTAGCTGGACTTCGGTCTTAGTCTTCCGTAGCTCTGCCCAGAGCTGTGCTTGAGGCTCCCCTTTTATACACCTCCAGGGGACACTCCGACCCCGGCACCGCCTCCTTTCTGTAACCTTCCAGAAGATCCTGGAAGGGCCCCCCTCGCCTCCAGCCCCCCCCACCTGGGGTAGGGGAGGGGAACCCAGTCTCACTAGGGTCCGGCTCTCTCTCTCTATCCCCTTGTACAGGCTGGCACACCCTACGTACCTCTGGCTGTAGCTGCAGGTAAGTGGATACAGCCGGCGTGTGCATCCGCGTTTGCGACGCGACAAATGCAGGGTGCGATCTTGCGTAGTTCACTGGCGACGAAGTCATCTTGCTCTTCAAATCCATATCTCGGCAAGGTGGAGCTGTGAGCCATCATCACGCGGCACTCCGCTCATCCTAGCAGCGGCGGCGGCGGCGAAGGCTTTTGGAGCTGCTCAGACATCGAACAAAAAAGGCGGCGGTCACCGCTGCATCGCGCGGCGCTTACAGACGCGCTGCTTCTGCGGCCGTCTGGAACGCTCTTCCCTTCCCCGATGTTAGGACGCCACTGAGAGCTGCGCACTTTTAAGTCTTCGTCGTCTATATTGGCAAACTCATTTCTTTAGAACTGCTTTTTTGTGTGTTTAGTTTGTTGTCCTTCTACCCCCCCCCCCCTTCCCGCCGCAGCTCCATTGAGCATGGTTGGCTACGTACGGTGCGAAAGAACTTCAACGTACACAACGACATCAGGACGCAAACTACTATATATCGGTCGTGCGTAATTTCTGCCCCGTTGCCTTGAAAAGCGACGGGCTGAGACGGCTACAACGAGCGTCGCTTCAGACCCAGTCAAACTCGGAACGTCGGAGCAACGTTGGACACGCGCCACGCATGGCTCGAGAACTCTGGGGCTTGGGGCTCGCCGCAACCCTCGCCCTGGGACCGGCCGCGGAACGTCGTCAGTCAGGGGCGGTCTCGGAGCGAATGCCACCTCCGGAATTCCTGGGCGACACGGGATCGTGGGTGGGGTGGGGTGGGGGAGGTCTTTAACGTCACTCAACCCAGAGAAAAGGCCCCACTTTGCCAGTACCGGACGCCGCGGTGGAGAAATGTTGACTACCTCGCCTGGTGTGCAGGAGGTCGTGGGTTCGATCCAGACCCTGACGCCTGCTGCTGTATATTTGGAGTTTGCGTGTCTCTCTCTCATCATCATCACGGTGGCTAAGAGATGTTAACTACCTCGCCTGGTGTGCAGGAGGTCGTGGGTTCGATCCCGACCCTGACGTCTGCTGCTGTATATTTGGAGTTTGCGTGTCTCTCTCTCATCACCATCACGGTGGCTAAGAGATATTAACTACCTCGCCTGGTGTACAGGTGGTCGTGGGTTCGATCTCGACCCTGGCACCTGCTGATGTATATTTGGAGTTTGCGTGTCTCTCTCTCATCATCATCACGGTGGCTAAGAGATGTTAACTACCTCGCCTGGTGTGCAGGAGGTCGTGGGTTCGATCCCGACCCTGACGCCTGCTGCTGTATATTTGGAGTTTGCGTGTCTCTCTCTCATCATCATCACGTTGGCTAAGAGATGTTAACTACCTCGCCTGGTGTGCAGGAGGTCGTGGGTTCGATCCCGACCCTGACGTCTGCTGCTGTATATTTGGAGTTTGCGTGTCTCTCTCATCATCATCACGGTGGCTAAGAGATGTTAACTACCTCGCCTGGTGTACAGGTGGTCGTGGGTTCGATCTCGACCCTGACGCCTGCTGCTGTATATTTGGAGTTTGCGTGTCTCTCCCTCATCATCATCACGGTGGCTAGGAGATGTTAACTACCTCGCCTGGTGTACAGGTGGTCGTGGGTTCGATCCCGACCCTGACGCCTGCTGCTGTATATTTGGAGTTTGCGGTGTCTCTCTCTCTCTCATCACCATCATGGTGGCAAGGAGATGTTAACTACCTCGCCTGGTATGCAGGAAGTCGTGGGTTCGATCTCTCCTCACATCACGCGTGCACAGCATTTGCCTGCCATAAATGTCCACGTGAAAATCCACTTGGCCGAGCTATCGTTTGTGATTGCCGGGTCGCGTCTGAAAAAGACCCACACAGCTCAGTGGACCTTGCTTGGTAAATAAAAATAACAAAAAAATGTGTAAAAGTTTATACTTGCCAGCCAGTTAACGCTTCCGTTCCATCGTGAACGCCACCCGCGGAGAGTCTGTTACCTCCACCTCATCTTGACTTGAAGCTTTCGTGACTGCAGGAATTCATATTCTTTGGGTCTTTCGGTAAAGTCACGGAGATAGGCGAATTTTTTTTTACCGGTTTGTAATTTTTTTGGAACCTATCTACGTGAAACTTTACCGAAAGACCCAAAGAATGTGGATTACCTCCACCCAGGGCAGGATTAAGGCATGGGGGCTTTCGGGGCTGCAGGCCAAGGGCCTCCGCCAATTTCACGCGTGCACAGCTTTTCCAGAGATGAAGTGAAAAGTGATTTCATTTTTGAATGGTGAATTTTATTTGTTGTTAGCCTTGTAAAAATTACATTTGATTTTTCTTTAACTTTGTTTTCCTTTTAGAAAATATTACTTGGGGGGGGGGTGTAGGGGTGGGGGGGGGGCTCACAGTACCCTGTAGCCCAGGGGTCTACAAAATCTTAATCGGGCCCTGCCTCTTCCATGCGCTGTTCAGTCCGACCCGTTTGGCGCTTCAGCCGCCGAGTGGCCGAATCATTCCATCGATCGCTCGCTCAAGAACTGTTCCCACCGCCTCTCTGAACAAACAAGTTGGTTCAATCCCCGACTCGCACGGCATGATCACCAGCAACAGATTAGATGGGCACGTTCCCAATACCGCCGCCGCCGTTGCTGCCGCGTGTGTTGAATTTCTTTCGCACCGTACGTACGTAGCCAACCGTGCTCAGAGGAGGTGCGTTGCGAAGGACAGTAAACTAAACGCACGCAAAAATGCACTTCTGAAGAAAGGAGTTTGCCCGTGCAGGTGCTGATTTTAAAGTGCACAAAAGCTCCCAGTGTCTTCTTCCTAATATCGAAAGGAAAAAAAAAAAAGACGCGTTCCAGACGGGCGCAGAAGCGCATCCGAAAGCGCCGAGCGATGCGACGAGCTGCTGCTTACCATTGCCAGGTGTGGATTGTTTTATAGATCGGCGGAGTCACGGTGTCCACGAACGCCGTGACACCGAGGAAGCACCACGCGTGCTTTAATAGAATCAGGTCAGTGCCAAAGTGATGTTTCTGCTCCGCCGAGCATTGAAGCGCTGGCGATTGATCTCCTTTTAACATGCCTGTGCCGTATTCTTAGCTCTTTCGGTAAAGTCGCGTTGAAGGGAAACAATAAAATAATAAAAAGTATATATATATAAACAATTGAAAAATATATTTTATTATTTTATTGTTTCCTTTCAACGTGACTTTACCGAAAGAGCTAAGAATATGAATTACTGCAGTCACGAAAGCTTTGAATCAAAATTTATGCCTGTGCCAGTCGTGGACATTCCACGTTGTCATGGCGGGATCGATTCGAGTTCGTATGACAACCACTGTTGTCTGCCCCCCCCCACCCTCCCCCCTCTCCACAAAGTGGTGCCAATTTTATCGACCCCGGAGGGAACGGCGGGCATGATGGGCTGAGTCAACCCCGAACAA